CGGTGCCGCGGGCGAGTGTTTCTGGCACGGGGGCAGGGCGGGTGTGGCCGCTCAGACACGCCCCCCGCTGGTACCGCAGCACATCTGACACAAAAGAGAGAGAAGAGCGCTCCGAACAGACGAGAGGGTTTGAGAAATGTCGTAAATTATTCTGACAAAACAGGTGGAGGAAGTATAGTCTGTCCAACTGTAAGTGAAAGGAACGGAGGAGTGATTTCTTACCAGGGCCGTGCTTAAATACATAAACCCCTGGAATTCTATTCAAAGTTTGCTGTTTCAAGTAGTAATAGTAGTAGTAGTAGTGGTAGTAGTAGTAGTAGTAGTAGTAGTAGTAGTAGTAGTAGTAGTAGTAGTAGTAGTGGTAGTAGTAGTAGTAGTAGTAGTAGTAGTAGTAGTAGGTAGTAGTAGTAGTAGTGTAGTAGTAGTAGTGGTAGTAGTAGGTAGTAGTGGTAGAAGTAGCAGTAGCAGTAGCGGTAGTAGTAGTAGTAGTAGTGGTGGTAGTAGTAGTAGTAGTAGTAGTAGTAGTAGTAGTAGTAGTAGTAGTAGTAGTAGTAGTAGTAGTAGTAGTAGTAGTAGTAGTAGTAGTAGTAGTACTAGTAGTAGTGGTGGTAGTAGGTAGTAGTACTAGTAGTAGTAGTGGTAGTAGTAGTAGTAGTAGTAGTAGTAGTAGTAGTGGTGGTAGTGGTAGTAGTAGTAGTAGTAGTAGCAGTAGCAGTAGCATGGTGGCTGTAAACAAAAATTAATTTTACTTGTAAAAAAAAAAACCTTTCAGCTTTGGTTATCTAGTGGGCGACCTAACTACCGTATGTTCCGGGCTATAGGGCGCACTCAAAAGCCTCCAACCCCATCAAAAAACAACATGCACCCACAATCCAGAATGCCTTTATAGTGCGGAAAATACGGTAATAAGACAAGTTTCTAATTCACCCTAATTCAAATAAATAAATAAATAAATAAGTTTGCCACTGCTCACGGGAGTCAATTTTGCATAATGTAGAACCTTTAATATCGAAATTGAGTTTGAAATGTTAGTTTGGAGACACATTATGATATGATACAGTGAAGTATAATAATTATTTAACCAAAAATAAAGCCGTTTTTAATACTCAACACAATTTTTGCCCTAATTCCTCCCTGACTTGAGCTGTTTTGTATTTTAAGAACCGGACTTTGATAAGAAAACCCAGACAGGACATGTAGATGTTTCCTCGCGTCTGCTCTCTCCTGGTCCCTGCTCTCTGCTGAGGTGCATTGTGGGTCGTGTTCGGGGTCAAAGGTCGTTTCCGATGTCCGTCTTCCTGTTGGTCTGGGATTGTTTCCTCTTGGCTCTCTCGGCGTTGAGTTGTACTTCCTGGAGAAGGCGCGGACGCTCACACACGACACATTTTACACTACTTTTCTCCTATATGCTGTGTCCGTTTTTCATTATTTTTAAGTTGTCCTTTCGGGTTTTGGCAGGTTTTTCCTTTAAGATTCATGTATTATTTATTAATTCTTGATAAAATTCCAGGTCTGAACCTAAACCGGACTCAGGAAGTGCTGCGGAATGTGATTCACAGAGGAGTTGTTTTGTCTGAAGTGTCTGAGCCCATTATAGACGCGTGTGTTACTATTTAAAGACTATTTAAACTGATTGTTCCATTTGAATGATTCTGCTAAATATTTATTTCCCATCTTTCCTATAAGTGAAGGAATGTCCGATTTTTCTTCTCTTCTTTTCACGATAACTTAAGACTTATTACTGAAGTGTATATACTGCTGAAGAAAATATAGAGTTTAACTGAAAACATTTAATTTTGTATTTTCTGTTCTAATGTAGTTTCCTCATCACAAACACACTTGGAGTTGTGTTTTGTTTCATTCCTGTTTAACACACAAACTCTGCTTATTTAGTCTGAGTGCTTCTCTCAAACTGAAAACACTCTGTTCCACTTTGTGATGTCATGTGGTACACCTACAGGAAGTGCTCTACTGTGTTTTTAAACTCCACACACCTTCTCTAGAATCACTTGGATAATTTCAGCTCTGGAATTTCCAATCTCTACTGAACCAAAAGTAAAACTAACTTGTAACTAGGGGTGTCAAATTATCACGTTAATTACGATTAATTAATTACAGTCATATTTAGCGTGTTATGTTTTTTAATTGCATTAATCTTATTTTTAATCTCTAAGTTTACTGTTTCTGTTCGTGAGTTGCTTTATTATAAAATCTGTTTTTATGTGTTGTTAGAACACAGTCTCGCACTGTGCAGTCCTGCTCCGCTCGCTCCCGCAAAGAATTGTAATTTTCATTCTCGTTCTCGACGCATCTGCGATAAACCTGCACATGTTTGATCTCTGAAAACATCGCGACACAGACGCAGAACAGACTCACCATCAGCATCAACATCCCTCTGTCACAGAAAGAACATCTATATTCCACTGAGTCGAGTCCTTTAATCCAACAGAAGCTGAACCACATCAGTGCTTAGCCATGTGGTTTTAAGTTTGGTTTCTGTGAGATTTGTGCAAAGCTGCATTAAACACATTCTAATGTCAAACAGGCTGATGTGGCTCTAGAGTGTTTATGTTTATATGTTGTAAATTTTAGTTTATTTATGCAGATTAGTAATAGTAATAATGATGATACTTATATAAAAACATTAATGATAGTATGAAAATAATGTAATAATGAATTCAAATGAAAATACCTCAAGTTGAAGCTTTTCTCAGCAGTTTTTAGGTGAGATTAAAAAAGAGATTAATTAGATTAATTAATTACAGATCATAATGAATTAATCTCTCAATTCTTTTTATCACTTGACAGCACTACTTGAAACACTTGAAAACTACCACGACATGACATCACAAAGTGGAGCAGAGCATTTTGAGCTTTGCAGATGTAGACAAACTAATAATAAAGGATTATTGAAACAACTTTATAACAGAGATCAGAAAATACTGATTTCAATATTTTCATTCATATTCTAGATTTTCTTCATATATACACTTCAAAATAAGTTATCGTGACAGGCTGATTCCTGAAAAAGAAGAGAAGAAAAATCTGACATTCCTTCACTTCGTCTGTTTCTGATGAGTTAACATTCTAACATGTTCCAATCTGTGTAATGTAGGTCCTTTAAACCAAACCATGAAGAAGAATTATTCACAAAATTGTATTGTAAATGTACAATATAGTTAAATATTGTTGAAGCATATACATAAGTAGGATATTCTAACACTTCAGTAATTAATTTGTGTCATTTTAATTAATAATTCAACCTTCTTCAGCAAAAAAAAATCCCACTACAAAGAAAAAGCACCCACAATAAATACTGAACCCCAAAATAACTTGTATTTTTCATATATTAAATGATAAGTTGATGTAATAATTGTCATGAGGTGCAGGAGCATGAACCTTCGAGAGGAAACTGAAATCTGAAGTGTTCAACTGTTACAAGAATCTCATGTATTTCAGAACATGTTTGTATAACCCAGCCTGGACTATGGAGCAGAGATTTTGAACCATAGGGCCCAGTTCTGTCGAAATGGGCTGCTCCGTCGAAATAAGCTACCAGCAGCCTAAACTGACAGTGACGTCTATTGATTCACATAGTTTTTGCGTTTACTGTTTTATAGATCCAATAAAGTCCTAACTCTAACCCTGACCTCCTGCAAGAGGTCGGCAGTTCATGTAGGAACAAAGTGCTTCTGCCACATTTAAGATTACGACAAATCCTTGATTACATAAATAATCATTTAACTGTAAAATAAAATACATATTTCCTTCTTTTCATTCATAAATAAAACAACTCAACTCAAGCTCATCTTTGTATTACCTCTGTTAACCGTACAATAAACCAACCAGCTTACTAAACCAGGACTAAACCAGGACTAGGACTAAACCAGGAGGACTAAACCAGGACTAAACCAGGACTAAACCAGGTCTAAACCAGGACTAAACCAGGACTAAACCAGGACTAAACCAGGACTAAACCAGGTCTAAACCAGGGCCAATTTGAAGAGAAGAAACGTGAATTTTCAGGATGTGGTTGCTACATTCATGTGTACATTCACATGGCAACTCTCACAGAAACAAAACTTAAAACCGCATCGCTAATTTGCATAAACTCAGCGAAGATAAAACTCCAGCTCTTGTGTCACTGATGTGGTTCAATTTCTGTTGGATTAAAAGACATGACTCAGGTGAATACAGGTTAGTGTGACCAGATTTGTGTTTGTCAAAACCAGGACACCATATGGGGGAGGGAGGTGGGGACTCGTCATCGACATTGTGCGACTCTCACCTGGTAAAACTTTTTCCCACTGGACACAGAAACATATGTGCTGCTTTATACACTGTGCACATGGACTCACACTTGTCCCCTACGCAATGGAAAGCGTGGAATTTCTTGTACAAATCATCGTTAAATCCACATTTGTGCTTCAGTACGTTGCAGACTGACCCACTGTTTGTGTCTCGCTCCTTCTGATGCAGAGACACATGTACACACCTGTTTAGTCACACTACACACAACAAACTACATTCGGTTTGTCGATTAAAATGATGAAATTCTTAATGATCAATTATCGATTAATTCGATTAATTATACCCATCCCTAAATGAGACACAAGCAGAAAATCAGGGAGGAGGGCCACGCACAGAGAAGGCAAACAAGAAAAGTGGGGAAATCAGAATTGAATATAAGCATTATATTGATATATACGATATGTCAAAATCCATATTGAGTTTAAAAAATATCTTGATATATTTAAAATATCGAGATATCGCCCACCCCTATTCATAAGCAAACAAAATAAACATTAAACTTTCTCAGGCATCAATATTTTCCTCAACAGTTGCAATAGAACGCATTTACAACAGGGAAAACTGACTACTGACAGAATATAAAGGGGCTTTGAAGACTTGGGACCCTTCAAAACCCCATGAGTAAACCACAGTGATATCCTCTGGAGTTTCTGACCTTCACACCTTCTCTGTGTTTCTTTGTTCTTCAGGTGAGGAGCGGCTGATCGGTCGGAGCATCCACAGAGCCATGCTGAACCCCGGCGAGGTGAGCCCGCCTGTAGAGCACCGGTCTGTGGGCTTCTCTCTGGACTACAGCCTGAGAGTGCGCTGTGACCTCCACTACTACGGCCCCAAGTGCAACATCGTCTGCAGGCCCCGGGACGACTACTTTGGACACTACATCTGTGACCACAACGGGAAACCAGAGTGTAGAGAGGGATGGAGCGGAGAGTCCTGCAAGACCGGTGAGGAAGAGACGTCCTCTCCTCTGCTCCGTCTGAACCTCCTCTGCTCTTTCTGACCACCTCCTCTGCTTCCTTTGCTCCTCTGATCTTCTCTTCTGCTCCATCTGACCTCCTCCTCTGCTCCTCTCCGCTTCTCCTCTGCTCCTCTACTCTTCTCCTCTGCTCCATCTGAGCCTCTCCTCTTCTCCTCTGACCTTCTCCTCTGCTCCTCTGACCCTCTGCTCTGCTCCATCTGACCTCCTCCTCTGCTCCTCTGATCTTCTCGTCTCCTCCTCTGATCTTCTCCTCTGCTCCTCTGACTCTCTCCTCTGCTCCTCCCCTCCATCTGACCTTCTCCTCTGTTCCTCTGCCCTTCTCCTCTGGCCCTCTGACACTGTTCTTAAGCTCCTTTGACCTTGTCCTCTGATCCTCTGCTTCTCTGACCCTCTGCTCTTCTCTTCTGCTCCATCTGACCTCCTCTGCTCCTCTGAACTTCTCCTGTGCTTCACCTGACCTTCTCCTCTGCTCCTCTGACTCTCTCCTCTGTTCCTCTGGTCCATCTGACCTCCTCCTCTGCTTCTCTGCTTCTCTGCCACTCTCCTCTGTTCCATCTTGTCTTTGGTAGTCCTCTAGTATCATTCCCTGTCCCTCCTCTGCACCATATTTTCTCCTTCGCTCCTCTGTGCCACTGTTTCTGTTCTAACTGTACCCAGATTGCTCGAGGTTTTACCAAATGAATTCATTTTGAGCACATCGTGATCTTATTGTTGTTTTTTCTTTTCTTCAGCCATCTGTAAAACAGGCTGCTCTCTTCACCACGGGACCTGCAGCGCACCAGGAGAGTGCAAGTGAGTCAAGACCTGAACCAGGACTGAACCAGGACTATACCAGGACTAAACCAGGACTAAAGCAGGACTAAACCAGGACTAAACCAGGACTAAACCAGGACTAAACCAGGACTAAACCAGGACTGAACCAGGACTGAACCAGGACTATACCAGGACTAAACCAGGACTAAAGCAGGACTAAACCAGGACTAACCAGGGACTAAACCAGGACTAAACCAGGACTAAACCAGGGACTAAAGCAGGACTAAATCAGGACTAAACCAAGACTAAATCAGGGCTAAACCAGAACTAAACCAGGACTAAAACAAAACTAAACCATTACTAACCAGGACTAAACACTGAACAGGACTAAACCAGGACTAAAGCAGGACTAAACCAGGACTAAATCAGGACTAAACCAGGACTGAACCAGGACTAAACCAGGACTAAACCAGGACTAAAGCAGGACTAAACCAGGACTAAATCAGGACTAAATCAGGACTAAACCAGGACTAAAGCAGGACTAAACCAGGACTAAACCAGGACTAAATCAGGACTAAATCAGGACTAAACCAGGACTATACCAGGACTAAATCAGGACTAAACCAGAACTAAACCAGGACTAAAACAAAACTAAACCAGGACTAAACCAGAACTAAACCAAGACTAAACCAGAACTAAACCAAGACTAAACCAGGACTAAACCAAGACTCAATCAGGACTAAACCATGACTAAACCAGGACTAAACAAGGTATAAACCAAATCTAAACCAGGACTGAACTGGGACTAAACATAGGGTAAACCAGGTCAAAACCAGGACTAAACCATGGCCCCGTCCCACATGTTGAGAACCCTCCTCTCTCTAAACTCTGGTCTGACCCTGAGTCTGTGTCGGCTCCATTGTTCTGCTTCCTGCGTGTTATTTTCAACATGTTTCCGTCTCACACGAACATTCCCCACACTGCCAGAGTCCACATACATGAGTTTAAAGCTGTACTGCGGAACTTTCCAGGCAAAGAAATCACATCACCATGGAGACAAGCAGATGAAAATGTTATAATGTTTTTACCTTCTTGAAAACAGACCTGGAGTTGAGTTTTGTTTCATTCACACATGTTTGAGTAACTCTTTATTATTAGTCTGTTCCACCTTGTGATGTCATGAAGAGCTCAGTCTAAATATGCAGGGTTTGTGTGTTAATCATATGTGAATTAAACAAAATACAACTCCAGGTGTGTTTGTGATGAGGAAACTACATTATAACATAAAAATAGTAAAATTTGCTGACTTCACTTCAAGTTTAATCCAGGACACACACTGTGCAATATTTTTGATAGTTTCACTCAGGCCCAGCTCAAACTGTACGACCAAATCACAGAGTTTAAAAGTTCACAGCTCACGATTCATGTTCTTACGATCCAATGCTCTCATGAGAGGCGACTGGATTTCAAACAGGTTTGATATTCTTGCGACCTTTCATTGCTGATCGGGAGTTGGTCGTGAGGTATTAATCATTTCTCGTTATCCCATTGTTCACTACATGAAGCACAACACATGATTCAGGAAAAAATGTCGGCTCGATCCCAAAAACAAAAACTACCAAAAATCGCCAGTGTTCCTTTGGTCTTGAATTTGATCGTTTTTAATATAGGGTAACAATTTAAAGTGCCCATCTCATGTAAAATAACTCTTTTCACATTGTATCTTCAATTTGGGTTTTGGAACATCCATTACACAATAGTTCTGAAATCTTACTGATTTCTTGGAGACAGTCACAGACCACGAACTATGAAAGTCCAACTATTGCTCATCCCCCCGCCCGTCCTGAGAAAGCACAGGCTCCGCCCTCCAAACGTGACGTAGGCGATGAGTGAGCCGCCCTTCCTCCGCCATCTCAGGGAGGGAGGGGGAGACAGGCGTGACCCTGATAGAGGCAGGAATAAACTTTTATTCATCATGGAGATACAGCGCGTTCAGCCGCATGTGTTGGACCTGGAATCGGACGAGAACTTTGAGGAGCACGAAGCTCAAGCACCGCGTCCACATCAACTGAACATTACTGACTGGTAAAGTATTAATAAACACTAGTAGATCAACTTATTGCAGTGTAGAACAATGAGCTTATGCTGTCGCTTTTGTTTAGGTGTTCATGTGGGAATTGTCAGTGGATGTGGGGCGGAGGCGGTGGAGCGAGGGAGGGGGTCGGGTGCGAAGCTCTTTCTGCTACGTTAAACACGTCATAGGTGTAGCTGCTGCATCGTCGTTGTAGCAGCTTTAGTTCATTGTCGCGTGGCAGGGTGGCAGAAATACACTGCAATTTGTTTAAGAAAAAAACGCTGAATCAATCTAAAAACCACTTCAGCAACAAATACAAGGCAAGGCAAGTTTATTTGTATAGCATAATTCATACACAAAGTAATTCAAAGTACTTTACAGAATAAGAAATACATTAAAATCATAATAAAAACAAATCAAAACATAAATAATCATAAAGATTAAAATTAAAAAAGAGAGACATAAAAATGAAAACCTTTCAGTTCTATATACAAGGTCCACACATCACTCTTAGAAGGTAGAAAGCTCTGAAAAGTTGATTTTGCATGAGACTGGGCCCTTTAAGTCATTTTAACTCTGTAACCAGTGGAGCTCCCAGGCCTACAGTATAACCCTCATGTCCTGTTCCGTTAGAGGCTTGTTTTGGCTGCTCCCATGCCCAGTGAGGTGGGGTGGAGGAGGGGTGGAGGCGGGCGTAGGTTGGCCTGGGTGAGAGTACCACCATATGACTCCCGGTTCCTCTCTTATCTCTGTGCCCGCTGCTCTGGATCAGGGTGGTCCCAAAACATCCCACCTCCTTCAGTGACAGAAGCTCTCACTCTGGGGCTTATCATGGAGGTCTAATGCAAAATGTGAAATCCAAACAAAAACACATCAGGAGGAGAATAGAAGGAAACGCCACACGCTACTGTGTAAAAGAGCAGAACATTCTTGATTTAGTTCTGATAATGGTTTTGGGTTTTTTTTCTTCTATGAATTAAAAACAAGTGAGTAGTTTTGACTTGTTCAAATATCCATCCATTCACTTTAGTTATAGAGAATATTTTTATACACAGTTCTCAAAGTACTGCACACAACTGATTGAAAGTCTATGTACCTGATTTTTACTGTCTTAAAAGTACAGTACTACTACTACTACTACTACTTTTAAACTATTTGCAGTAGTCCAAAGTTATTCCTCACTCACCTTCTGCATTCAGAGCTTCCTAAATATTCACCACGATGAGTTTCTAAGAGCTTTTCACAACTTTCAGAGACCAGAGCGGAGTTTTGACGTCACAGTAATGTTACCAACTAGCATGCTAACACACACTTCCTGACTGTCAGAATAAAAACGCTTACATGCAGACGGTTAGTTAACAGAACTCTTGGTAACACTTTATAATAACTACACCTTACTTAGCCTTAAGAAAGCATGAACAAAGACTTAATTAATAATGAACAAAGATTTAATTAATAATGATTCACGCTTAGTAAATGCTTAATAAAGGATAATTCGTCTTCACTTTAGAAAAGCTCTCAAAAAGACTCAAAAAAACTAACAGAGAACAGCTGCCTGAATGATCATTGCATTGCATTATTAGTAAATCATTCTCTCATAGTTTATTAATGATTAATAAATGCTCAAATGGTTAGTTCATGAGTAATTAAGTATGAAATAATTATGAGTAACTATTTACAGCACAGGCAGCTTAAGTGCAAGTGCTAATTAAGGTAGTAATTAAGTAGTAACTAAGCGTGAATCATTATTAATTAAGTCTTTGTTCATTATTAATTACGTCTTTGTTCATGCTTTATTAAGGCTAAATAAGGTGTAGTTATTATAAAGTGTTACCAAACTTTTTATTTGTCCTTTTGAGCACCTCAGCACTGTGGTTTTCCGTAAAGGGGGTAAAGGGAGATGTTTACCCGGGGTCCACTTCAGGGAGGGGCCCTCACAAAGTTTCTAATGGGCATTTTTTATTAGATAACAGTTCGGCCCTTCAACATGATTTGGTCCCAGGGCCCAGAAGTTGCTGCTACACTTCTGAGCACAAGTATGAGGAGAAATCTCAGGACTGTGGAGTCAGGAGGCTCCAGAGTGACTTGGAGCTGATCATCACGCTCCTGCTGCTGTGGCCTGTAACAGATATTTACAGAAACAGAAACTGAAATTAAGATTTTAAAATCTATAACTTGAAATCCGTCCAAAATCCTCCTCTCGGTCTCATGTCCGGACACATCCTCCTCTCGGCTCCTCGGGCTTTTTCCATGTTACAGTTTTGTTTGATGAGATCTTCACAGATAAAACTGTGAGCAGACTCCACCCAGACACAGACAGAACACACAAACTCCACACAGACACAGACAGAACACACAAACTCCACACAGACACAGACAGAACACACAAACTCCACACAGACACAGACAGAACACGCAAACTCCACCCAGACACAGACAGAACACACAAACTCCACACAAACACAGACAGAACACACAAACTCCACACAAACACAGACAGAACACACAAACTCCACACAGACACAGACAGAACACACAAACTCCACACAGACACAAACAGAACACATAAACTCCACCCAGACACAGACAGAACATGCAAACTCCACACAAACACAAACAGAACACATAAACTCCACCCAGACACAGACAGAACATGCAAACTCCACACAAACACAAACAGAACACATAAACTCCACACAAACACAGACAGAACATACAAACTCCACCCAGACACAGACAGAACATGCAAACTCCATACAGACACACAGGGAGGACATACAAACTCTACACAAACACAGGGAGAACATAGAAACTCCACACAGACACAGGCACAACACGCAAACTCCATGCAGGTACAGAGAGAACATTAAGATTCCACCAAGACACAGGGAGAACACGCGAACTCCACCCATACACAGGCAGAACACGTAAACTCCACAGAGACACAGGCAGAACATGCACAATCCACCCAGACACAGGCAGAACACACAAACTCCACAGAGACACAGAGAGAACATGCAAACTCTACACAGACACAGAAAGAACTTGCAAACAGACACAGAAAGAACATGCAAAACCCACAGAGACAAAGAAAGACCAAGCAAACACCACACTGACACAGCGAGAACATGCAAATTCCACACAGACACAGGGAGAACATGCAAACTCCATGCATACGCAGGGAGAACATGCAAACTCTACACAGACACAGAGAGAACATGCAAACAAGTACAGAGCTAACATGAAAACTCCACACATACACAGGGAGGACATCCAAACTCCATATAGACACAGAGAGAGCATGCAAACTCCACACAGACACACAGGGAGAACATACAAGACTCCACACAGACACACAGGGAGAACATCCAAACTCCTACACAGACACACAGGCAGAACATACAAACTCCACACACAGACACACAGGGAGAACATACAGACTCCATACAAACACAGAGAGAACATGCAAACTCCACAGAGAAAGGAGCATTATCCAGTAGATCTGTGATTCCTGAACGTTTGGTATTGATCCAGTAACGATCGATACTGGGGCCAGTATCACAGTATCGATACAGATTCTAATGACTCATGTTGAGCTTTAAAATATGGTTAATATTTGAACTAAAGTGCTTAGAAATGGTGTGTTTTTATATATTTTTGAATCAGGCCAGGGGTTTTGGTGATAAAAGTTGAATTATGATGTTGATTTTCTGGGCTCCAGTGCTCAGATGTTCTAGCAGCTCCGTCTCTGCTCGTCTGCTGTCGTTTTCGTTTTGTTCTGGTGTATTTGTTGTGTTAGCTTTGGCGTTTGCGCGTCTCTGTAGCTCTTGTGTTGTGTGTGTGTGAGCGTCCTGCGTTAGCGTGTTGCGTTAGCGTGTTGTGTTAGCGGTCAGAGTGTGGACAGTTTGTCTGAGGGGAAATGTCTGAGCGACCACAGCTCACATTAGCTTAGCCACAAACTGCTGCAGCTCCACCGTCCAGAGGCCCAAAGACTCAGACGAGACCTGCGCTGCGCCGCCGTCGGGGAGCGGACCAGGACCGGGACCGGGACTGGGGGCCAGGATCGGGGGACCAGGTCTGGACCAAAATAGCCCCCATTATGGCAGGAGCTAACGTCGCTAACCCCTCCTCTGTCTCTGCATGTGGCAAACGCTGGAGCTGGACCACACCCAGAGAGGGACTGCACGCGTCCACATGATTTACTCTTCGAGAATTTACACACTGCTCCAAAGCTGCTGCGCTGGAAATGAAATGATCGAACCACAAACCGAAATTATAACGTTATAAAGGTTTATTTCTTTATTTTGTGAACCAGAGTCAACAAGCAGCACAAGCAATAACCTCCTCACATTAAGTTATTAACCAGCTCATTCACTTTTTATGTCTTAATCATTCACAAATCTTACAGCAGTTTTTCTTTTTAACCCTTCAGGACCTAAGGGCAATTTTATTTGTCCTCATCTGGATTTTTCTCTTAATTTTACCCTCTAATGAAGTGTTATATATCCTTTTTTTTGCACTACAACATGTTATTTCACAATCTGCTGCTGTAGTTGTGTCATCTGGCAGGACCAGAAATACAAAGAAACAAACCAACAAAAAACTGAAAATAAAATTCACACTCTTTCATACAAAACCCACAGCAAACATTTATAAACAACATTTTGGACATAAAAATAGCTTCATTTAGGGCCTTAGCGTACAAAAGTGCAAGTGTGTAAGTGAACTCAAAATATCCTTATTGCCTCAAAACAAACAAAGTGCAGTGTCCCCATGACTTTCCTGGTGCCAGTCGTGGAAACAGCTGGTGTCAGGTCCAGGACACAGAGCCACATCACTTCCTGCATTTCCATGAGGTTTCTTACATTTGGATTTGGACATTTGGAACTGAAATAAACCTGAAAATAAAACTACTAAGGGATGCGCAATTACACAGACCAATTTGCCATTTATTGGAGAAATAACTGCACTTTGAGCAGCTTTTTCAATTGTTCTGAACACAGACGCTCAGAGCATCGACCATTTTGACTCACTACACTCTTTGGCAAAGTCTGGCCCAATCAAGAATGGATGGAGCGCATGAGTTTGGTGGAAAACAAAGTTCGCACTGGACACTTGTTTTCCCTACATGGTCACACAGCATGTAACGTAGGATAATGTTGGAAATATGCTCAGAAAGCCTCAAGTCTCAGTTTTTCAAGGGAGAGTAAGTTTCTATCTTTTATGGTTGTAAAGTTGTGTACAGTTTGTAAAATATATTCTCAGGCATCATATACGATACTGTTGGGCTGGAAGGGTTTTAAACAAAGAAAAATATGTTTTTTTTAAAGGCACACAGTGTAACTTTTGTGGTGGAGCCACTTGTTTGTCACTATGGAGATATTTTGCACAGTATGCCATTGCACTTTACTCTCACATTTATTTATTTATCTGTGTTTTTAATGTCATGCCTACTGTGAGTGGGCTTGCCTCTTCAGATCCGTATGGAGATTGATTAGTTTAAGCCATATTGTGGGACATTCCAGAAAAGCAGCTAACCCTTTGTCAGAAAAGTTACACAGTGCACCTTTAATGAATGGTGTTCGTGGTGATTAATACACTGAGATTGAGTTTGTGTTTGTCTGCAGTGATCACACCTGCTCCACTGTGCACGTCTGACAAGAGGAGCTGTGCAAAAAGACTGAAATATTCAGTATTTTGCATCGTTTCATTTGACGACTACATTCTTTTAAAATCTGAAAATGATTCCAAGTACCCCTGGCCTGAGTGTGCGTCTGAATGAGTGGGTGTGTATGGGTGGGTGTGTGGGGGTCTGGAGAGGGGGGAAGAGGGGGAGAGGGGGGTATATGTTCTTAAAATAGAGTCAGGGGCGATGGTGGAAGAGACAGGACAGGTGCAGAGGTCACGGCCTTGAACAAACACAGACTCCATAAACTAACAGACGAACGGCCCTCGCAGCCCACGGGACCCTCTGCTCCTCTGACTACAGACCCTGACTACAGACCCTGTGTGTAGACTCCCTGTACAGACCCTGACTACAGACCCTGAGTACACACCATGTGTACAGACCCTGAGTACACACCCTGTGTACAGACCCTGTGCCCTCAGTTGTAGGCCCTCTCTCTGTTCGGCTCATGTCAGACTGATCTGTGTCACTCTGAGTCACATTTTCAGTCTGGAGCGGCCTCACTGAAGGTGTTTGAGAGCCATCAGGATGTTCAAGTGAATAATCCAGTGTGACTGAGTTAAATCAATTTTTTTTTCCTTCTCAAATGCAGAAAGTGCTTACCACTGGATGATTTCTGTCTGTGTAACCAGGTTTATTTTGGTTTGTTTGGGTGCTTCACCTTTGGCTCCGCCCAGACCACACTTCTGTTCTGTGATTGGTCCACCATCCAGTGGCCTCACCCACTCCCACCAGTGGGAGTTTGTGAACTCACAAATATCACAAGAGCACTTCCATAAAGGTTGAATTGGCTTTGAACACTGAGAATCAAATTTACATCAGACGTCGTTTCCTGAACTCTGTCAATGAGAGCCACTCCACAGGGAGAAATGTGTAGCACTCGATGAGAACTTATGAATCAACTTAAGAGACATGGAATAGACCAAACATAAACATTTCTTCCCTCTGTCCCACCCTCTCTCCCCTCCTCTCTCTCCCTCTCTCTCCCCCTCTCTCTCCTCCTCTCTCCTCCTCTCTCCCCGTCTCTCTTCTATCATGTTTTCAGGTGTAATTACGGCTGGCAGGGGCCTCTGTGTGATCAGTGTATCCCGTACCCGGGCTGTGTGCACGGCTCCTGCTCTGAGCCCTGGAAATGTGACTGTGACAAGAACTGGGGAGGTCTGCTGTGTGACAAGGGTCAGTCCACACCTCACACTCCATCACATTTATAATAATCCAATCAGAATAATAATAACACTGTCTTATATTGAACTGTTTTGTGTTTGTTATTTCAGATCTGAACTACTGTGGGACAAACCGCCCTTGTAAAAATGGTGGCACCTGTATGAACACAGAGCCTGATGAGTACCACTGCGCCTGTCCGGACGGGTACTCTGGGAAGAACTGTGAGATCGGTGAGACAACGAATCAAACGCACCCTCTGTGTATAACTGCTGTTTATGTGACCAAACGCACCCTCTCTCTACTATGTCTTGTGTAGACTTAACAAAAATACTTTCTCTGGTTTTATTCTCATTTGGATCATTGTGTTTGTGTTTGAACAGCGGAACACGCCTGTGTGTCTAACCCCTGTGCTAATGGAGGCACGTGCCATGAGGTGCCCAGTGGGTTTGAGTGCCACTGTGCCCCGGGCTGGTCCGGACCCACCTGTGCCAAAGGTCAGAGCTCCAACTCAGCTGTTAGAATCTTTAGTCTAGTCATGCTGCCCTACATTCCACATGATTTTAGTTTTAGTAAAGTGGCACTACTTTTCATGGAGGGTTCTCCACCTGCTCGCATCCATAGAAATGTTATGGCTTTGTCTGGAAAGTTTCCCTGTAGTTATACTAGGGCTGGGGATCATTAAGAAGATGCCTGATACGATACATACCTCGATACATAGGCCATGATACGATACATATTTCGATACAGTGAACTTACGAATCGATACGATATATTTCAAATTGATTCGATACCGTTCAATAAAAATAAAGGCTAAATCGTGTCTGTGATACTAAAAGTCTTTGTTAAACCACTTCTTCTTGTGCAAAGTGAATATGAAACACAAACATTTTAATCCTCAAAACTGTGAAAATGTCAAATGTGTCGCATGCACTGCAAAAAATTAAATCTAGCCAAGTTAAGATGACTTGAATTAAGAAAGTTTTATCATGATTTGAGTAAATTCCACTTGACAAGTTAAATTCTCTATCAGCGGAATACGATTTTTTGTTCTTAAAATATGAAAATACAACTTGTTACACTTAAAAAAAGAAAAACAACAACCCTTAAAATAAGAAATGAAATTGAATGTCGCTTGAATTTAGAAAAACACTTATTCCATTGGTAGAGTCGACTCAGATAAAGTCAAATGTTCTTAATTTTCATTTTAACAAAGCTTTTTGCTGTGTGAATGAGTTTCCTTCCACTAAACAAACAACAAAACTGTAGCTGTAACAAAATCATTTAGTAAAATACACAAAAAATACTCAATACACGATATATCGATACAGCAGCCCATGATATCGATACTGTATCATTACATTATACGATACAATATATCGATATTTCAATATTTTTGCACACCCCTAAGTTATACGCTGTGTACATGAAATTTATACTGTCATTTTTGCATTTTATGGACCCCAGGAAAACAGCAGTCATGTGATGGAAGCTAATGAGGATCCAAATAAAGAATAAAGAATGGCATCATATTATATAATACAATATATACTGGTATAGAAGGTGGCACCAGACCAAGTAATGCAACAAAAACACTTGTAATTGAATAAATGCTGTACTGTGGAACATTCCAGGCAAAGCAAGAATGGAGACGAGCTGGAGGCGGACCCTCCTCCTGAAAAAGATACATACTTACTTTTTACAAAAATATAAAGATATATACATACTAGGGATGGGCATTCGATGAAATGTTCTTAATCGATCGTCGGAAGAATTAACGATCGATTATCGATTAATCATTAACGTTTTTATATTAAAATGATCATCATTATTATTACTATCTGCACTACTAATCTGCATAAATAAATTCAACTTTACGACATATAAACCGTAACGACTGTTTAATTCAGTTTTGTTCAACTCTCACAGAAACCAAACTTAAAACCACATCACTAATTTGCATAAACTCAGCGAAGATAAAACTCCAGCTCTTGTGTCACTGATGTGGTTCAATTTCTGTCAGATTAAAAGACATGACTCAGTGGAATACAGGTTAGTGTGACCAGATTTGCGTTTGTCAAAACCAGGACACCGTACGGGGGGAGGGAGGTGGGGCCTCGTCATCGACATTGTGCGACTCACACTTGTCCCGAATGCAATGGAAAGTGTGGAATTTCTTGTACAAGTCATTGTTAAATACACATTGTGCTTCGGTACGTTGCAGACTGACCGACTGTGTCTCGCTCCTTCTGAGTGCAGAGACACATGTACAGTCCCCTGTTTGGTCACACTACACACAGCAACCTACATTCAGTTTGTCGATTAAAATGAACGTAATCGATGAAATTCTTAATGATCAATTATCGATTAATCGATTAATCATGCCCATCCCTAATACATACTTTTTGTTGAGAAACATTAAAGCAAAGATCAACAAAGTAATAATGACGGTCATGTTTAAATGCAGTCTCTGAACATTGTTGTTTTCCTGTTTCAGACACAGACGAGTGTGAGTCTGCCCCCTGTGGGAACGGAGGCACCTGCATCGACCTCCTGAACGGCTTCGAGTGTCTGTGCTCCGAGCAGTGGAGCGGAAAGACCTGCCAGATCGGTAACTACTGCTAACACAGCTATGTTTAATACAAGAGTTTATAGGTTTTGATTTAGCACATCAGCCAGATCAGTAACTCCGCTATGTTTAACACAGGAGTTTAGAGGGTTTGATTTAGCATGAGAGACCTGCCTGATCAGTAACTTCCGCTCGCACGACTATCTTTAATACAGCAGTTTGAATTAGCATAGGAGAGCTGCCAGATCAGTAACTACACCATAGATACAACTATCTTTAACACAACAGTTTAGACGGGGTTAATAGGGAGCAGCATGCCGTGGGTTTTAGCTTTCTTTTATAGGTGCCATTTTGAGGAACACTTCTGAACACTTAAACGATCAAATATTTAGTTCTGAATTGTTAATCGCTATGGCAACAGTATTAATCCTGATCACGGCGAAACCCATGGACTGAAAATGGGACTGTCAACTGAAATATCAATTCACGTTTACATAGAGCGCTCATGTTTTAGTTTACAGAAGTGGTAGAGTGTTGACCCGGTAACCAAAAAGTTAGTAGTTTGATTCCACCAGTGTAGTGTGTCCTTGGGCAAGACACTTCATCCACATTACCTTGGATGAATGCAGTGTTTATTGTATTTCATTCTGTTTATTTAGACTTTAATAGACGTATAAAGTTTTATATTTGTGATGAATATGTAATTAGTGGTTATTAATGATGAGCCTGTGTCAGAAGTGGTGTCCTGAAGTCACTCCTGCATGTAGTTAAAGTATTCGTGTTACTGTACATGTATATTTGTATTGCAGTAATCGTACTTGGTTGGAGTCTGTTTACGCAACGTTTTAACTATCACCCCCCGTCCCCTCCTCCTCTCTCTCTCTCCCTCTCTCCCTCTCTTCCTCTCTCCTTCTCTCACCCTCTCTCCCTCTGTCCTCTCTCTCTCTCTCTCTCTCCTTCTCTCACCCTCTCTCCCTCTGTCTCTCTCTCTCTCTCTCTCTCTTCTCTCACCCTGTCTACTCTCTCCCTAGTGCTTCCTCTCTCCCCTTCTCTTCCTCTCTCATTCAATCTCTCCTCTCTCCTTCTCTCTCCTTCTCTCACCCTCTCTCCCTCTCTCCCTCTCTTCTCTCACCCCCTCTACTCTCTACCCCTCTCTCCCTCTCTTCCTCTCTCCCTCCTCTCACCTTCTCTCACTCTCTCTCCCTCTTGAGCGCTCTCACCCTCTCTCTCTCTCTCTCTTTTTCTCTCACCTTCTCTACTCTCTCCCCCTCCCTAGCTCTACCTCTTTTGCTCCTCTCTTCTCTCTCATTCATTCCTTACTGTCTCCTTCTCTCACCGTCTCTCACCTTCTCTCCCTCCCTCCCCCTTCCCTCTCTTCTCTCACCCTCTCTACTCTCTAACCCTCTCTTCCTTTCTCTCACCCTCTCTACTCTCTCCCCCTCCCTAACTCTACCTCTTTCCCTCCTCTCTTCGTCTCTCATTCATTCCTTCCTCTCTCCTTCTCGCACCTTCTCTCCCTCCCTCCCTTACCCTCTCTCACCCTCTCTACTCTCTAACCCTCTCTCCCTTTCTTCCGCTCTCCTTCTCTCACCTTCCTCCCTCCCTCCCTCTCTTCTCTCACCCTCTCTAAACTCTCTAACACTCTCTCCCTCCTCTCTCTTTTTCTCACCCTCACTCCCTCTCTCCCTCCCCAGCTCTCCCTCTCTCACCCTCGCGTCCTCTCTCCTCCTCTCTACTCTCTACCCCTCTCTTCCTCTCTATCCTTCTCTCCCCCTCTCCCTCTCTCACCCTCTCTCTCTTCTCTCTCCCTCTTCCTCTCTCACTCTCTCTCTCTCTCCCTCCCTTCCTTTCTCACCTTCTCTCCCTCTCTCCATCCCTTTCTCCGCCTCTCCCTCTCTCACCCTCTCTCCCTCCCTTCCTTTCTCACCCCCTCTTCTCTCTTCCACCCTCTCTCTCCCTCTCTCCCCCTCTCTGCTCTCTCCCTCTCTTTCTCTTCAAAGTGCAATCCGATACAGGTGCGCTAGAGTAAAGCTAAATTTAAAATCCCGCCCGGCAACTGCGACCTCCCCGGTACTTAAAATACTGCAGTACTAATGCAGTACTATGAGATGTGAGGTACTGAAGTACGAGATCTAAGTTTGACCCAGACAGGGGCGTGTTACGAGCAGGACACACCCCTCCGATCGCAGCCAGGAAACTCTGAGATGTAAACAACAAAATAAACATTGGGTACAATTACATTACCAGAAAACAGATAACTATAGCATCGGTTATCGAAAATCAGGTGTCAATCGATATTAAAACTAGATGAGGCAGATAACATAAGAATCTCTTCTTTCTGCTCCTTTTCATTCATTTCTTGGGTGTCTGATGTTGTGACACTCTCGATAATTTTTTTATAATTTATGAATGAAATAAATAAACAAATAAAAAAATTAAAAAATACTAATTTGACGAGGTATCGATACTAAAAACATCCCATTGACAGAACAGAAATGAACCTTTAGAATGCAGAGTTTTTGAGTCTATTTTTGAGTTTTTGAGTATCAAGTCTGTACTTTAGTGTAGTTTGTGTGTTTAGTGAAATTTTAGTATCGTGACAAAATTCACTATTTTATCCATAAACAAGGTATGAACATTAATGACGGATACATTTGATTGACAGTATTCCAAATATGTAGCCGGGTTGGCGCCACCTAGTGCCTCCGCTCAATTTCATTTCTCTCCAGCGACTAGGTCAGGAATTGAAATACACTAGACACCCAGAAGTGCGAGTTCGGACACCAGCCAATCAGCGAAGAACCAGACATTCTGTGTTGACAACGGTTCCCGAGATTAAGTATTTAAAGCCAGAATAATTTAATATTTAAGCCAGAATAATTTAATATTTAAGTCAGAATATTTTAATATTTAAGCCAGAGAATGTTTGGTGAATTTTATCAAGTGGAAAGACGTTATTGCCCTTCTTCCTAAAAGATTTTCTCATTAATAGCCCTCTTAGTGGTGCATTACATACGTCATGACCAAATAGCAGCGATTGGTTAAATAAAAAAAAGTACCTGCCTACCGTCGAGCGAAGGAATTCTAATGCTGCGAGGTCAGACGGTTTCCACGAAGTAAAACCAGCTGTTGAATCAAGCTACCAAATATGGATCTTACCTCCAAATTTGGCGCTGTAAATGTAAGCCTCGATGAGCTTCATTTGACTGGAGCTGAACACTTCTCTCTTTATCCACCTTTTAAACATTACAATCAGTTAAAAAGCAAAACATTACAGCTTTGACAGTGACTAGTTTTTAACAGAGTCTCTAAAGCTCCGTTCACACAGTGTTCCCAGGAAACTGCCAGGTCCAAAATCTAATCTGTTGTCTAAAGAAAGAGTTTTTGAGTGTCGAGTCTATTTCTTAGTATTGAGAAATTTGCAAGAAATTTCAGTATTGTGACAACACTCGTATTTATATGAACAAAAGAAATGTGATGATCAAAAACACCTGGTGATGCATCAGTTAAATATCCTGATTCATCAGCCGGTTTCACTTTGTTTCATTTTGTAGAAACCGTCGTCGCAGCATTAGGATTCGTTCACTCGACGGTAGGCGGGTAGTTTTTTATTTAACCAGTTGCTGCTATTTGGTCGGGTTAACGGGGCTAACTGGTATATTAAGCTTTTCCTAAATTCTGTAGGAAGAAGGACAGTAACGTCTTTCCTCTTGATAAAATTCACATAACATTCTCTTTAACTTCTTAGGTTCTTTTTAAAGACAATGCACTACAGTGTGTTTACTTTGTTGACATGTTTCGACTGCTGCTGTGAGCCATCTTCAGAACTGTCACCGGTGTTGGTGGTGACGTGTCGTATATCAGCTGTTGTTACTTCCTGTAGGCGTGGTCAGTCTGATGGACCTGGCAGGTGGCTCAGACTGACCACGCCTCCCGTCGTCCGATGTTCTCTGGAGGAGGGTGTCCCAGGTGCGTGAAAGGAGGAACGCGCCGTCTTTGTTCCGGCTTTAAATCCTTGATCTCTGGAATCGTTGCCAACACAGAATGTCTGACTCTTCCCTGATTGGCTGGTGCCTGAACTTGCACTTCTGGCGTTTTTGCGAACCGTCTAGTGCACGGGTGTCAAACTCATTTTGGTCCGGGGGCCGTATTCAACCTACTTTGATCCCAAAGAGGCTGGATCAGTAAACTCATGTCATATAAACCCCAAAAATAACAATAAGTTCAAATATTTGTGCAGAGAAACACAAATCTATTACAGAAATCTTTTTTATTTGATTGACTCTTTCTTTTACTAAATATAATATCATGAACAAGCTGAAACTTTAAGAAAAATGCATTTTCAACACAATGTTTTACAAATAACTTGTCTGCAAACAGGAATAAGTCCATATTTCTTGTAAAATCCTGCACTCGGCTCCACTTTTCTCATGTTGGACATTTTTCTGATGAGGGTGTCACGGTCAACAGTCAAAACGATCGTCCTTTAAGAGCGTTTGGAAAGAGACAAGTCTTCATTTGTGCTGCTCTGGTGGGAGGGGCCACGTACAGAGACGCTGCTGTGATAAACTAAAGAAAATTAACAATATTTTTATAGAAAATATAATTAAAATATTTTAGTAGAAAATCAGCCGAGGGCCAGATTAAAGGTCTTGGAGGGCCGGATCTGGCCCCCGGGCCTTATGTTTGACCCTGTGGTTTAGTGTATTCTGATTCCTGACCTAGTCGCTGAAGAGAAATGAAATTGAGTGGAGGCACTAGGTGAGGTCAGTTAATGCCCAATATGTAACATTTTAACAAAAAAATAGACCTATAGTATTATTTGAAGTTTTACTGCACTGAAAAACTTTGAAAACCTGCTGTAGTGACTCTTGACCATTACTGGCCATGACACGTCCAAACTCCCATGTGACCCATTTCAGTGGCAGAGTGGTTAGCCCTTGTGTGTGTGTGGAGTTTGCATGTTCTCCCTGGTCCACAGCGGCAGTGAGGCTCTGAGAAAGCTCTTTTGGGAGGTGTCTAATTTCAGTGGTGGACAGGTGCCGTCTATCTCCTGGGATCTTGTATTAAAATAGAGAGAGCTGGACTCTGCTGTGGTTCTGGTTTGATCTGCAAAGCTCCACAAACTTGCCGTATTATTTTTATGGCTTAAAAGTCCTTTCAACTGACAGAGATATGAGGCGTAAACCAGGCCAACAAATCTGCAATCTGACATTTACACAGAAAAGTCCACCTGAGAATGCTGCCCTGTCTCCAGCTCAGCTTCAACTACAGAGTCTACAATGTTCTTAAATCCATTTGTAGTCCTTTTTTAGTCCAGGTTTAGTTCAAGTTTAATCCTGGTCCTAGTCCTGGTTTAGTCTTTGGTTAGTCTAAGTATAGTCCTGATCTAATGCTGGTATAATCCTGGTTCAGTCCTGGTTTGGTTCTGGTTTGGTCCTGGGCTGGTGGTAGTTTAGTCCTGGGTTAGTCCTGGTTTAGTCCTGATTTGGTCCTGGTTCTGTCCTGGTTTGGTGCTAGTTTAGTCCTGGTTTAGTCCTAGTTTAATCTTGGTTTAGTCCTGGTTTAGCCCTTTTTTAGTCTTGGTTCAGTCCTGGTTTGGTTTTGGTCCTGGTTTAGTCCTGGTTTACTCTTGGGGATTCCTGGTTTAGTTCTGGTTTAGTCCTGGTTTAGTGCTAGTTTGGTCTTATCCTGGTTCAGTCCTGGTTTGGTCTTGGTTTAGTCCTGGTTTAGTCCTGACAATAGTCCTGGTTCAGTCCTGGTTTAGTCCTGGTTCAGCCCTGATTTAGTCCTGATTTAGTCCTGAGTTAGTCTTGGTTTAGTCCTGACAATAGTCCTGGTTCAGTCCTGGTTTAGTCCTGGTTCAGTCCTGATTTAGTCCTGGTTTAGTCCTGGTTTAGTCCTGGTTTAGTCCTGGTTTAGTCCTTTAGTCCTGGTTTAGTCCTGGTTTAGTCCTGGTTAGTCCTGATTTAGTCCTGGTTTAGTCCTGTTTAGTCCTGGTTCAGTCCTGGTTTAGTCCTGGTTTAGTCCTGTTAGTCCTGGTTTAGTCCTGTCCTGATTTAGTCCTGGTTTAGTCCTGGTTTAGTCCTGATTTAGTCCTGGTTTAGTCCTGGTTTAGTCTTGGTTTAGTCCTGATTTAGTCCTGGTTTAGTCCTGGTTTAGTCCTGGTTTAGTCCTGGTTCAGTCCTGGTTTAGTCCTGGTTCAGTCCTGGTTTAGTCCTGGTTTAGTCCTGGTTTAGTCCTGGTTTAGTCCTGGTTTAGTCCTGGTCTTTTAGTCCTGATTTTAGTCCTGGTTTAGTCCTGGTTTAGTCTGGTTTAGTCCTGATTTAGTCCTGGTTTAGTTCCTGGTTTAGTCCTGGTTCAGTCCTGGTTTAGTCCTGGTTTAGTCCTGGTTTAGTCCTGGTTTAGTCCTGATTTAGTCCTGGTTTAGTCCTGATTTAGTCCTGGTTTAGTTCTGGTTTAGTCCTGGTTTAGTCCTGATTTAGTCCTGGTTTAGTCCTGGTTTAGTCCTGGTTTAGTCCTGGTTTAGTCCTGGTTCAGTCCTGGTTTAGTCCTGGTTCAGTCCTGATTTAGTCCTGGTTTAGTCCTGGTTCAGTCCTGGTTTCAGTCCTGGTTTAGTCCTGGTTTAGTCCTGATTTAGTCCTGCATCAGACCTAAAATCTCACATTGTCTTGAGGAGTTTGTGGATGACACATTTGTAAACATGTGTCCGTCAGAGTGTGTGATACTAATGCATCATGACATGTCTCTGTGTGGTGTCTGTGTGTCTCGTGTCTCGTCCCATGTCTTCTGTATCGTCCCGTGTCTCCGTGTCTTGTCTCTGTCTCAGTGTTTTGTCCCTGTCCGTCTAACCGCCTGGTGCTGGCCCTGCTTGTATTGCAGATGTGAATGAGTGCGCGGGGAGGCCCTGTCTAAACTCTTACTCTTGTAAAAATCTGATTGGTGGATATCACTGCGCCTGCTTCCGTGGATGGGTGGGCCAGAACTGTCACATCAGTCAGTATCCGACAAACTCCCAACTCCAACCCAGTCTGTCCACCGGATCTGTGCTTAGCTTTAGCGCTTCACTGCTGGTTCTGCTCTTCCACTGGCAAAACATGACAAATCTCTAATAACATAAACTTTATACAATTATTAATGACAACTTTAGCACATAAGTTTGTACGATCATTACCATAACTCTTCTCTCTGTGACTAAGGTGTGTGACTAAGGTGACCAGATTTTCAACATTCAGAACTTTGACACACCTGGTTAAAGATTGTTGGTGTAGATAAAATAGTGAAAAGATGAATTTACTCTGTGGGCCAATCATATCTGAGGGACTTCTGACGGCGCTTTTTTTTTTTCTTATCGTCATTTTCAAGCTCAGTTTTCTGTATTTTAGCCAAACAAATAACAATATAGTCCTCCCTTTACTGTTCGTGGTCAAAATAAGGACACCTGGGACATTTCTTGTATAAAACTGGGACAAATCACTAGTTTTGTATAAATCTGCTGGGACAGGGGACACAGGCTCAAAACTGGGACTGTCCCATTTAAACAGGGACGTCTGGTCGCCATAGCCGTGAGCCTCGTCATTTTGGTCTTAAAATGTTCTTATTAACCTTCTCTACATAATCTCTCTACATAATCCTGGTGTTTTTAATTTGCTATTTTGTTCTCCAAATTTGCGCTGTAACTGCAAGCCTCAGTGAGCTTCATTTGACTGGAACAGAACTTTATACAGTACAATCAGTAAAAATCAAAAAATCAAAAAAACAATACAGCTTTGACTGTGACTAGTTTTTAATTGAGATGAGGAATATGTCTCTTAAGATCCATTTATGTATTTAATTCTTTTGCACATATATAACATATATCAAATAAAAGCACACTAGTTAAAAAAGTTGGTGCTGGAAAAGGCAAAAAACCTGTAAGGGCTTAAATTAAAGCCTCCTCCTTATGAATACATTAAAATTGACGTTTACACCTTAGATTAAATATATTTGATTCAAACATGGATTCAAATATAATGAAACATCCCACAACTGAATGATTATTAAACATGATCATGAAAGATCAAATATTTCATCAGACTCTTTTTAAACAACGTTGTGGCACATTTTTGGAACATGAAAATGATGATTTTGACAAGTTTTGTATCTGTGAATCTATGGTTTTAAAGTAAAATGTGAAATGATTAGGGATCATAGTCATTTTATAAAGAAGTCTATGCATAAAAATACACATTTGATATATTCATATGATAAATATTAAGAATGTTCAGTTTGATGAATAAAGTTAGTTCCATGGAATGAGTTGCACTTCAAACAAAACGTTTTTGCACCAATAATATTTTAGACATAGACAAACTTTATTGATCCACAAAGGAAATGATTTGGACACAGTAGCTCACACATCACAAAATAATATAATAACAAAGAGGAAAAATATAAATAAGTAGCAAAAAAAGAGTAGTTTTTTTTTTTTTTTTTTTTTTTTTGAGTAGTTGTTGAAAGTTGTTGTCCAGACGTTATTACAATATGACAGACAGGGATAAGTTAAACTATAGTGTAATGAGTCTAGATTTTGAGTCCAGAATTTTACAAACTTTTCTTATAATACCAACAGATTTATTCATATATTATTCCATAAAGGTGAGTTATTGTACAGTTGTAGGGAGTATTATCTGATCCTTAAAGGTGAGTTGTACAGTTGTAGGGAGTATTATCTGTTATATAAGGGTGAGTTGTTGTACACTTGTAGGGAGTATTATCTGTTTCATAAGGGTGAGTTGTTGTACAGTTGTAGGGAGTATTATCTGTTACATAAGGGTGACTTGCACAGTTGTAGGGAGTATTATCTGATCCTTAAAGGTGAGTTGTACAGTTGTAGGGAGTATTATCTGTTACATAAAGGTGAGTTGTTGTACAATTGTAGGGAGTATTATGTGTTACTTAAGGGTGAGTTGTTGTACAGTTGTAGGGAGTATTATCTGTTCCATAAGGGTGACTTGCACAGTTGTAGGGAGTATTATGTGATCCTTAAAGGTGCGTTGTACAGTTGTAGGGAGTATTATCTGTTACATAAAGGTGAGTTGTTATACAGTTGTAGGGAGTATTATCTGTTACATAAGGGTGAGTTGTACAGTTGTAGGGAGTATTATCTGATCCTTAAAGGTGAGTTGTACAGTTGTAGGGAGTATTATCTGTTACATAAAGGTGAGTTGTTATACAGTTGTAGGGAGTATTATCTGTTACATAAGGGTGACTTGCACAGTTGTAGGGAGTATTATCTGATCCTTAAAGGTGAGTTGTACAGTTGTAGGGAGTATTATCTGATATATAATAATATATTCATTTTTCTGGTCACTCAGTCACATGCTGGTCCCAGAAAACAGCTGGATACAAAATATAATCACATAGTGTAACCAGGATTTTTCTGGTTTTATATACACATACAACTTCTCTGCATATTCCCAGTTATTTACCAGGAAAACTGACAGATCAAAAATGCAGGAAATTAGTTGTAGCTTTGTTCACACATGACCCTGTTCTGACAAAACGCCGGTAGATTCCCAGATCAGTCAGGCTGTGTGTGTGAAGAGCGCTAAATTTGACTACTTTTGCTTCTGTAAAACACGACCTTAATATAAAAAGTTTTGACAGTACCGAATATTATCAAGTTCAAAATGAAAGCTTGTGTTTGCCGGTGGAACAGAGCTCTCCTTCTTCCTCTTAGTTTTCTACAGTTCTGTCTTAAAATCTTGGATCTCTGGCCTCCGTTCAATCATTTTAAAATTCCTCCGATTTTCCTCACAAATTTCAGTGATATCTTTTACATCTCTAAATTGTCTGTGATTCCTAAATAAAGCACGTTCACTTCTGTTTGGTCAGAGCATGAGGGACGCTGATCCTAGTTCACAGTGCATGGTCCAGCTGCTTCTCTTTCTCCATCTGAACCTCATTTATCCAACAGGATTTTCATACTTTTGTTTGTTTTTCAGATGTGAACAGTTGTCACGGACAGTGTCAGAATGGAGCCACGTGTAAGGTGAGAAAAAGCAAAAAATTACAGAATATTTATAACATTAAAATAAAATAAAAATCCTTACTCAAATACTAATCAATACTAAATGAAATATTGAAATGGATATTTGTTATATAAAGGTGAATTGTTGTACAGTTGTAGGAGTATTATCTTGACATAAGGGTGAACTGACAGTTGTAGGGAGTATTATCTGTAAGTGTGTGTTGTACAGTTGTAGGAGTATTATCTGTTACATAAATGTAAATAAGATTATCTGTTACATAAGGGTGTACAGTTGTAGGGAGTATTATCTGTTAATAAGGGTGAGTACAGTTGTAGGGAGTATTATCTGTTACATAAGGGTAAGTTGTAAGTTGTAGGGAGTATTATCTGTTACATAAAAGTCTTACAAATCAGTAATTACAGTTGTAGAGTATTATCTGTTACAAGTTGTTGTACAGTTGTAGGGAGTATTATCTGTTACATAAGGGTAAAAATTGTTACATAAAGTTGTTACAGTTGTAGGGAAATCTGTTACATAAGGGTGAGTGTTGTACAGTTGTATCTGTTACATAAGGGTGATACTAGTATTATACATTAGGGAGTTATATGTTCATAAGGTGAGTTGTTGTGCAGTTGTAGGGAGTATTATCTTTTACATAAGGGTGAGTTGTTGTGCAGTTGTAGGGAGTATTATCTGTTCCATAAGGGGGAGTTGTTTTACAGTTGTAGGGAGTATTATCTGTTACATTAGAGTAAGTTGTTGTACACTTGTAGGGAGTATTTTCTGAAGCAGGAGTTTAATGCCATACTTTGGAACATTCCAGACAAAGCAAAATCATCACCATAGAGACAAGCAGGTGACCACTCCACCAGAAAAGTTACATAATGCACCTTTAGAGATACAGTTATTGTCTGTATCGCACTGCAGTAGTAGTAGCAGTAGCAGTAGCAGTAGTAGTAGTAGCAGTAGCAGTAGTAGTACTAGTCATATGTCATTGCAGTATTTAAATCAATATTAAGTACAAAACCTTTTCCTTAGCAACAAAAATGAGTTTAAATCTTTTTTATTTGACAGAACTTTGATTCTAAAACAGTAGATCTTTGTGCTGGTGAAGAATTGCATCAGAGGAGAGAGAGAGAGAGGAGAGAGAGAGAGAGGTCAGAGAGAGAGAGAGAGAGAGAAGAGAGAGAGAGAGGGAGGAGAGGAGGAGAGAGACAGGGAGAGAGGGGGAGAGGAGAGAAAGAGGAGAGAGAGGGAGAAGATGGAAAGGGAGAGAGAGAAAGAAGTAGAGCAAGAGAGAGGGGGAGAATAGAGATTGTGAGAGGGAGAGCGAGAGGAGAGAAGGAGAGAGACAGGGCGAGGGGAGAGAGAGAGAGGGAGGGGGAGGACAGGAGGGGAGAGAGAGGGGAGAAAGAGGAGAGGTACAGGGAGAGAGGGGGGAGAAGAGAGATTGTGAGAGAGGGAGAGAAAGAGGAGAGAGAGAGGGAGGTAGAGATGGTGGGGGTAGAGATGTGAGAGAGAGAGAGAGAGAGGAGAGAGGGTGTTTGAGGAGAGAGAGAGGAGCGATAGGAGAGAGATAAGAAAGAGAGAGAGAGATAGGGAGAGTGGGGGAGAGAGGGTGTGAGAAAGAGGAGAGAGAGGGGGAGGTAGAGATGGTGGGAGAGAGAGAGGAGAGAGCGGGGTGTAAAGATGTGAGAGAGGGAGAGGAGAGAGGGTGTTTGAAGAGAGAGAGATAGGAGAGGGAGAGGAGAGAAAGAGGAGAGAGATAGGGAGAGTGGGTGAGAGAGGGTGAGGAGAGAGGGTGTTTGAGGAGAGAGAGAGGAGAGATTGGAGAGAGATAAGAAAGAGAGAGAGAGAGAGAGAGGGAGGATCTGGCAGAAGAAGAGAGAGAGTGAACTGAGCTGGAGGCCAAACTCCGGGGTCAATACAAGTCTCAATTCCTCACAGTTTCATTTCATCACGTCGTCTCCTAAGAACGCAACAACACAAATAAATAACTCTGTGCAATCATAATTAAAAAACGATCGATACCTCATCTGATGTCTTTCCGTGCGGGGGTGATGCTAACGGGAGGCACTGCTCTGTCTGAAGAACTGTGCACTTTCATCTCAATCTGGCCTGAAAGAACTGACCCAAACTATTCTGGATTCACTCGACGAGATGAAAAAAAGGAAAACTCCACGTACTTCGGAGTGGTCCAACATGTGTCTCTCTCTGTTTTTGGCGCGAGGGAAAGGTCTCATAACTTTGAATAAGCTCTGATTTCACACACACACACACACACACACACACACACACACACACACACACACACACACACACACACACACATGAATGCAGAGCTGAAAGGAGCTTCCAAAATGATTCAAATGGTTCAAGTGAAACTGTTTAACGAGAAGATTGAGGATAATTGTGAAGCGTTTGAAGCAGCCGTTTGGACATGTTTCACTCTGTCGACTCTCAGCTCTTTCTGCTGTACTCCGAGTGGATTTAACTCTTTCCCCCATGAAGACGACATTTGACCACCCCCCTTGTTTCCTTAATGACGTCTTTTGTATCACTAAAGACGTGATTAAACAACCTTTAGAAACAGCTCGGTTTTTCACATGTAAACAGAGACTGTGATAGGTTGGGGCCACTACAACCCACACTAGACTGACCAATAGGATTCAAGGAGATGTTTTCACTGATTTTTTCCGAAGTTAATCGAAGTAGTGACGATTGGAGCTTCAGGAAAAAACACAACACGAAACACGTGCAATGGAAAGATCGCGGCGCTGCGGCGCACAGTTTTAGAAATAATGAGGAGCGGACGTATTTTATGGATAAGTTTAGAGAAAGTGACTTTTATAGATTTCAAAGTGATGATGTTGAAGTTGATTATAAAGTGGAAAACAGCAAAAGCGACGGACTTTTGGTGAGTGAAACTTATGAAGGTGAGAACGCCGCTGATGCGTCTGTGTGGAGTCCTGCGATATCCCAACAAACTATCCGGGCTTTATACTCGATTATGAACCAAAATTGCCCTGAAATCTGGATGTTTCCCAGGCGAGTCCTTTAAAATATTTCAGTCTTTTTTTCCAAGATGAGATGTTTGACAGAATTGCTACAGAAACAAACGCTTATGTGGAGCTCTGCACATGAGAAAGTAACCAAGATGACAAATACTGGACACACACTGACGGGGAAGAGTTTTATTATTATATTATTATATTATAATAAGCTAAATGAGTTGAATAAGTTAAATGGAAAAAATGAATTAGGTGCACACAGGTGAACAACAGGTAAAAACAGGTGCACACTTGGCTTTACTGTATCTGGTGATATGAAATCTGTTTAAATACTTTAGTATATAGAGTATATTTTTAATTTTTTTATGAATATATTACTCAGAACATGTATATATCAGATGCTGAATGTAGTTTTTTGTTTTCGATTTTGCACCTGAGCAGGTAAACTCTCATTTTCAGTGAGCTGTTATAAACCTGTAAATGAGTTGAATCACATTTAAACATCCATAAATGAAGAGTTCAGAGTCTGAGGTTTCCAGAGATACAAATATGTCTGTGTTACAATGAAGTTCATGAGTGTAAAAATCATTTCTAATCACTTGTGGAAGTCTGTTTCTTTTATGCAGTTATGCTCTATGGGTAGCCCCAGTAACATATGTATGGGCTGTTCCTAGTCGGCGTCCAGGGGGAAAGAGTTAAAGAATCAGTGTGCTTTATGTCAGGGAACCACTCACCCGTTCACTCACACATTCATTCATCAGTGCACACACACACTGGGGGAGAAGGAGGTTAAGTGTCTTGCCCAAGGACACACTGACAATATTCATCTGTGAGAGCTGGAATCGCACCGCCAACCTTCTGGATCAGTGGATTAGACAATCTTGTTTATGTCGAGAGTGGGATTTGAACCGCCAACCTTTGGATCAATGGACACTCCACCAACCGAGAGAAAAAACAAACAAACAAATAAACCATGTGATGTTCTTAGGTTCTTTTTTCACACCAAGAGTTTGTTTTTCCCCGTGTTTTGTCGCGGACACGGGAAATATGGAAACATGTCCACGGACTGGACGGGAGCGCTTTGTGTTGCATTTTTTTGTATCAAAAGCGCTAAGTAAAGTTTGATTGATTGATTGACTTTCAACCGGGACGAAGGGGCTTTTTTACTCTCACACACCTGGCATACTGTCGTGAGGAAGTGGGACTGTAGATGGCGCTGTCGTCCTTCCTCCACCAGTATTAAAACAGCACCAAAACCTTGTTATAAATCAGCTGAGCGACACGTCACAGCGACATCACGAGACTCTGAGGAAGAGCACAGGGAGCAGAACAAACTGTCAGGGATGAAAACAAACTCTTGGTCTGAAAAAAGAACCTAATAACATAAATGATCAGAAGTCCAAATGAACCTCACTGGACTCAACCATGTAGAAAATCTGCAAATGAACCATAAACCTTTGACCTGCTCCATCCCAGTTAAAGGAACCTTTTGCAAGAGTTTGAAAAATGCTGAAATCCAGTTGGTTTAAACCTAAAATGTGTGTCTGTGGTCTGAGCGGTCAGGGCAGCTCAGGGAGGGAAGTGTGGAGGTTCTTGAGCTTCACATGAGGCCTGCTCTGTCTCGATCTGCAGGTGAAGTCACTGGAAACACAACACGGCCCCGTTAAACTCATTTGGAATCACAGAATAAACATATTTTATAATCTGACCTCATGTGTGGACTAAAGCTGCATTGCTTTTATTTTAGAGGTGTTTTTTAGGACATTTTTTTGTTTGGCTGCATCACTTTTTCACTGCTGAGTCATAACAGAAACTCTTTCCAGGCTGAGCAGTGTCAGAACAATGCTTTTTATAAAGAAATACAATTAATATTAAGCGTTTTGGCCCGGCCCTCCACAATATTTTCTGTTTCTCATGTGGCCTCATGGAAAAAAAGAACTGCCCATCCCTGTTGTAGAAGTTTATTTGAAAGTGTAAGAGCTCAAACTACATACTCTACCTTTAAACACTACTGAGATACAGAAGGCTGGGAGGGCATCTGACTCTTTCCTGTGCTCATCAGGAGGGCTCCAGAGGGTACCAGTGCCTGTGCAGACCGGGCTTCGTGGGCAGACACTGTGAGCTGCAGAGAGACCAGTGTGAGAGCGCCCCCTGCAGGAACAGAGGCCAGTGTGTGGCGGTGGCAGAGGGCTTCAGGTGTGAGTGTGCGCCCGGCTTCTCCGGAAAACTCTGTGAGGTGAGTTTAAACTGTCAACATTTAAATATCTGATATATAACATCTGAAACATAAAGGAGGCTGCTGAGGCATGAAGCTGGTGTGAGGGCAAAACTACTTTAACTGTACTGCTCGATCCTGACCCAAGTATAAACCAGGACCAAACCAAACAATATGACAACTGAACAGTACTAAACCTACTAGGACTAAACCAGGACGAGACCAGGATTAGACCAGGACTAACCTCAAAGTTATCCAGAATTAAAACAACCAGGATTAAACTAGGACTAAATCAACAGAAGTATTTAACCAGACTAAAACTGCACTAAATGCAAGGTTCAAGTTTCTAACCAGGACTAAACCAGTCTAGAACCACATTTTTGAACCACTTTTGACCAGGTTGGGAAGGTGACTTTTAAAATGTATTCCCCTACAGATTACAGATTACATACACCAGAATGTGCTTTGTAACGGAATCCATTAAGTTACTTAAAGTGAGTAATGTAATCTGAATACTTTGGATTACTTGATTTGCTGTAGAGAAACAAACACTCGGAAATCATCACATAAGAAGTTTTGTCTGCTGAAAGAAAATAAAAAGCCCAGACTTTACTGAACCAAAATAAAAATATTATTGATAGAAGAAGAGGAGACACGTCCACACAGCAGGATTTAGTCCTGTTTTAGACCTGTTTTATTTCGGGTTTAGTCCTGGTTTAGCCCTGGTTTAGTCCGGGTTTAGACTGGGTTTAGACCTTGTTTTAGACTTGTTTTAGACCTGGTTTAGACCTGGTTTAGATCTAGTTTAGATCTAGTTTAGACCTGGTTTAGTCCTGGTTTAGACCTGGTTTAGATCTAGTTTAGATCTAGTTTAGACCTGGTTTAGTCCTGGTTTAGACCTGGTTTAGATCTAGTTTAGATCTAGTTTAGATCTAGTTTAGACCTGGTTTAGTCCTGGTTTAGACCTGGTTAAGATCTCGCTTGGACCTGGTTTCGTTTCCGGCAATGAATTACCAAAAGAAAAAAAAAAAAAAAAAAAAGGATATAGCCCAAAATGTGAAAACAGGAAAACTCCGCCCTGTAATCCATTTATTTCAACAAAGTAACTGTAATCCAATTACCACTCACTGAAACAGTAACTGTAACTGAATACAGTTACTCATAATTTGTACTCTGATTACGTATCTCCGGTACATGTAATCTATTACTCCCCAACACTGCTTTTGACCAATCACATTTGAAAACTAGAAAAGCAGTCAGAGAGCGCAGACTCCGCCAAGGACTACAGTCCCCCTCATATTAATTGTGTTTTCCATAAATATTTGTCTCGTATCTTTCAATTTGGAATATGAAAGAGGATCCCATTGTCCATCCCTGAGTCAAATTTCATGGGGTTTGGTCAATAATTAACCCAGATATTGAGAAACCAAATTTTTGGCCCCATTTACCACAATGTTCACTAAAATTTCTAAGTGATCCAGAATCCAGGATTTCTTCCGGATCACCCCCAAAATGAAATCAGTTCTTCCTTTTCACATTTCCAACAAATCCTGAAAATTTCATCAAAATCAGTCCATAACTTTTTCAGTTATGTTGCTAACAGACAAACAAACAAACAGACAAACAAACAAACAAACAAACAAACAAACAAACAGACAAACACAGGCAAAAACATAACCTCCTTGGTGGAGGTAATAAAGATCTGGTCTTTCAGAGATATAAATAATGCATTCAAAGATTCTATCAACTTTTACAATAATGATTAAGTTACTTGAACAAACAGTCGAGTCATTATTTGAAGAGTTTTAAAAACGTTCAAAGTCTTGTTAAGGACAAAACACCAGGACACTTGACGTGAGGCAGAATTGTCGTCTTCTTTATTTTCTACGTGCCAGCACACACACACTTGTGTGTGGCTGTGCTCGACCCTGTGCCACGATTGGGGTTTGCTGAACTGGGATGCGGGGCCACGTCTGAAAACACATGAAGCATTGTGCACTTGTGCAGTGAGTACAGACATGTCTGCTCTGTGACCGACAAAAGGAGGTGTGAACTTTAAGGATGAGCACGAGAGCTGCAGGAGCGGCAGGGAAAACCCCGGTGTTCAACTCACCAAAACACCAGAGCTCCTCTCACGCTTCTGTCCGTGAGGGGAAACTCTCTTCTGTCATCAAACTCACTGTAACCTCATCAAACCAGCGCCTTTCCTGTCCTCACAGCCTCACACCAAGTCTTTTATTTCATAAGTGAACTGCAGATAAAACACTCAATTCTACCACAGCAGGAGTCGTGTTTAAACCTTTTGAAGAGCCGTGTCGAGTGGTGTTCAGGTGTGTGTGTGTGGTGTGGTGTGTTGGTGTTTGTGTGTGTGTGGTGTTCAGGTGTGTGTGTGTGGTGGGTTTGATGTGTGTGTGAGTGGTGTTCAGGGTGTGTTTGGTGGGTTTGATGTGTGTGTGAGTGGTGTTCAGTTGGTGTGTGTGTGGTGAGTGGTGTGTGTTGGTGGTTGATGTGTGTGTGAGTGGTGTTCAGGGTGTGTTGGTGGGTTTGATGTGTGTGTGAGTGGTGTTCAGGGTGTGTTGGTGGGTTTGATGTGTGTGTGAGTGGTGTTCAGGGTGTGTGTTGGTGGGTTTGATGTGTGTGTGAGTGGTGTTCAGGGTGGTGTTTGTGGGTTTGATGTGTGGTGTGAGTGGTGTTCAGGGTGTGTTGGTGGGTTTGATGTGTGTGTGTTCGAGTGGTGTCTGGTGTGTGTGTGTGTGTTCAGTGGTGTGTTTGTGGGTTTGATGTGTGTGTCGAGTGGTGTTCAGGGTGTGTTGGTGGGTTTGATGTGTGTGTCGAGTGGTGTTCGAGTGGTGTTCAGTGTGTTGGTGGGTTTGATGTGTGTGTCGAGTGGTGTGTCAGGGTGTGTGTGGTGTGTGTGGTTGATGTGTGTGTGAGTGGTGTTCAGGGTGTGTTGGTGGGTTTGATGTGTGTGTGAGTGGTGTTCAGGGTGTGTTGGTGGGTTTGATGTGTGTGTGAGTGGTGTTCAGGGTGTGTTGGTGGGTTTGATGTGTGTGTCGAGTGGTGTTCAGGGTGTGTTGGTGGGTTTGATGTGTGTGTGAGTGGTGTTCAGGGTGTGTTGGTGGGTTTGATGTGTGTGTGAGTGGTGTTCATGTGTGTGTGAGTGGTGTCAGGGTGGTTTGATGTGTGTGTGAGTGGTGTTCAGGGTGTGTTGGTGGGTTTGATGTGTGTGTGAGTGGTGTTCAGGGTGTGTTGGTGGGTTTGATGTGTGTGTGAGTGGTGTTCAGGGTGTGTTGGTGGGTTTGATGTGTGTGTGAGTGGTGTTCAGGGTGTGTTGGTGGGTTTGATGTGTGTGTGAGTGGTGTTCAGGGTGTGTTGGTGGGTTTGATGTGCGGTGGCCTTTACAGTGGACAGTTTTCCCACATTTGTTTCCATGTGTTTCCATGTGTTTCCATGTGTTCAGATCCAGGCCGACCCGTGCAGTCCCAACCCGTGTCAGAACCAGGCCCAGTGCTCCAGTGAGGACGGAACCTTCTACTGCCACTGTCCTGAGGAGTACGAGGGCCAAACCTGCTCAGAACGCAAAGACCACTGCAAAACCAACCACTGCAAAGGTAAAAGTACTACTAATACTACAATATACTGCAAAACCAACCACTGCAAAGGTAAAAGTACTACTAATACTACAAATACTATAATATACTGCAAAACCAACCACTGCAAAGGTAAAAGTACTACTAATACTACAATATACTGCAAAACCAACCACTGCAAAGGTAAAAGTACTACTAATACTACAATATACTGCAAAACCAACCACTGTAAAGGTAAAAGTACTACTAATACTACAATACACTACAAAACCAACCACTGCAAAGGTAAAAGTACAATATATATATATACTGTAAAAGTTTCTTTCCTCCTCACCCAACCTCTCCTCTTCACTCCTCTTCTCTCTCCTCCTCTTGCTCTCTCCTCCTCTCTCCTCCTCTCTGACGTCTCTCTCTCCTCTCTGCTCTCTCCTCTCTCTCCTCTCTGACTCCTCTCTGACGTCCTCTCTGACGTCTCTCTCCTCTCTCGTCTCTCTCTCCTCTCTGACGTCTCTCTCTCTCTCTCTCCTCTCTGACGCCTCTCTCTCTCTCTCCTCTCTGACGTCTCTCTCTCTCTCTCCTCTCTGACGTCTCTCTCTCTCCTCTCTGACGTCTCTCTCTCCTCTCTGACTCCTCTCTGACGTCTCTCTCTCCTCTCTGATCTCTGACGTCTCTCTCTCCTCCTCTCTGACGTCTCTCTCTCTCTCTCTCTCTCTCCTCTCTGACGTCTCTCTCTCTCTCTCTCTCTCCTCCTCTCTGACGTCTCTCTCCTCTCTCTCTCTCTCTCCTCTCTGACGTCTCTCTCTCTCTCCTCTCTGACGTCTCCTCTCTGACGTCCTCTCTGACGTCCTCCTCTCTGACGTCTCTCTCCTCTCTGACGTCTCTCTCCTCCTCTCTGACGTCTCTCTCCTCCTCTCTGACGTCTCTCTCCTCCTCTCTGACGTCTCTCTCCTCCTCTCTGACGTCCTCTCTGACGTCTCTCTCCTCCTCTCTGACGTCTCTCTCTCTCATCTTCAGTTCTGGACAGCTGTACGGTGGTGGTCTCTTCTAACCGCACTGACCCGAGCGGTGGAGGAGGTGGAGATGTTTGGCACCTGCCCTCGTCGGTGTGTGGACCTCACGGACACTGCCGCTCTCTGCCTCAGGGAAACTTCAGCTGCTCGTGTGACCCGGGCTTCAGCGGCGCCTACTGCCACGAGAGTGAGTCTGAAACTGTCCCCGTGAAACTGGACTTTACCTGAGTGGGTGTGGTTTAAAGAGAGGGTATTATGCAGAAACCACTTTTTGGAGCTTTCTTCCATGTTATAATCGTTGTTCCATAACTGGTTTTAGATTAGATTATTAGATTATATTATTTAACTTAAGTTTATTTATCTAGCATTTTTAAAACAACTTGAGCTGACCAAAGTGCTTCACATAAAAATAAATAAAAGCAGATATACAGATTGATGCTCCCACACAACAGTTCTACAGAAATATACAGAACGATTCACTACAACTTCACAAACCTGATGTGATGTGCAGTAGTTTCATTAGTGAGATGCACCAAAGTTCAAGCTCAAAGAGAAGAAAACAATGTGGGACCTGCTGATTAGAAAGAAAGTCTGATTTGTGCATCACTAACAGACACTCCTCTTTCTCTTTCTCCTCCTCTCTACCTCCCCCTCTCTTCTTCCTCTCTCCTCCTCCCTCACACTCACCCTCTCTCTCTCCCTCCCCTTTTCTCTCCTCCTCTCTCTCCCCCCTTTTCTCTTCTTCTCTTCTTTCTCTTCCTCTCTCCCCCCTCTCCCCCTCTCCTTCCCCCTCTTCTCTCCTCTCCCTCCTCTCCCTCTCTTTTCCTCCTTTCTCTATCCTCCCCCTCTCCCCATAACCCCTCCCTCTCTCTTGTCCTCCTTTCCTCCCTCTCTCTCTCCCTCTCACTCTCTCTCTCTCCCCTCTCTCTCTCTCTCTCTCTCTCTCTCTCTCTCTCTCTTATCTCCTCTTTCTCTTCTCGCTCTCTCCTCTCTCCTCTCTCTCTCTCTCTCTCTCTCTCTCTCTCTCTCTCTCCTCTCTCTCTCTCTCGCTCTCTCTCTCCTCTCTCTCTTCTCTCTCTCCTCTCTCTCTCTCTTCCTCTCCTCTCTCTCTCTCTCTCTCCTCTCTCTCTCTCTCTCTCCTCTCTCTCTCTCTCTCTCTCTCTCTCTCTCTCTCTCTCTCTCTCTCTCTCTCTCTCTCCTCTCTCTCTCTCTCTCTCTCTCCTCTCTCTCTGTCTCTCTGTCTCTCTGTCTCTCCTCTGTCCTCCTCTCTCTCTCCTCCTCTCTCTGTCTCTCTGTCTCTCTCTGTCTCTCTGTCTCTCTGTCTCTCTCTCTCTCTCTCTCTCTCTCTCTCTCTCTCTCTCTGTCTCTCTGTCCTCTCTGTCTCTCTCTCTCTCTGTCTCTGTCTCTCTGTCTCTCTCTCTCTCTCTCTCTCTCTCTCTCTCTCTCTCTGTCTCTCTGTCTCTCTGTCTCTCTGTCTCTCTCTCTCTCTCTCTCTCTCTCTCTCTCTCTGTCTCTCTGTCTCTCTGTCTCTCTGTCTCTCTGTCCTCCGTCTCTCTCTCTCTGTGTCTCTCAGACATAAATGACTGTGCGTCCGTGCCTTGTCTAAATGGAGGCACCTGTATCGACGGGATCAGTTCGTTCCACTGTCTGTGTCCTGACGGCTGGGAGGGACACCTCTGCAACATCGGTCAGATTTACCAACTAATGGGATTTTCTTTCACCAGATAAAAATAAAACATCTAACGTTTCTTTCGTGTTTGTTTGTGTTAAGACGTGGACGAGTGCAGCAGCGCCCCCTGTCTGAACGCCGGGCACTGCGTGGACCTGCTCAATGACTTTTACTGTGACTGTGTGGAGGGATGGAAGGGCAAAACCTGCAGCTCACGTAAGTTTCAAGAGTTTTTGTCACTAAACTGTGCTTATAGTGTTTGAATAGTATTGTCCACTGTTCATGTAGATTTTTATCCATCAGAAAATAATGCAAACTTGGTAAATTTGCAGCTTTCTGGTTCAAATGTATAAAACTGGGTGTGTCCTGGCTCCAGTGGCCTCTGCAAGGTGACATCACAAAACACTGCCCTGATCACTGTCACGTTTGATTATAAATACCTGGCTGCGGGGGCGGAGTTTGAAGTGTGGATAGACCAATCACACTGTTCCAAATCCAACACGTTTCACTGATTAAGAAAATAAAATTAAGCAAAATGGTGTCTTGAAAATAAGTGATTAAAGTGACTCAAACATGCACGAATCACTCCAAATACAACTTCAGAAGGTCAGTGAGAAGGAAGCAACTATAACACGGTTAAACGCTTTGAAATCAAATCTAACATTTTGATAATTCATGTAATAATCACATTTTCTACCATCAAATTTTTCAAACGTGTGATGTTAACTGTTTCAAATTAAAAACATATACCATATTTTCTGGACTATTAGTCGCTCTGGATTATAAGGTGCACTTGTTATGAAGACAAGGTTGTATTATAGCATTTATTTAGTGAGGGTGCAGTACCGCGCGGCCGTTTTGTGAGCATATGAAAAGTTTAGTGTTTTCATTCTTAGTCTGTGCATCGGAGGTGTGTTGTTGTTTTTTATAACTGTTCCTTTTTATCGTAGTGTGTGTCCATGAGACAGGCGGGTGTTTTGTCATGTTAAATTAGGGTGTTTGATGAGAAAACTGAGTGTTCAAAGTTGTTCTGTGTTATTTATGCAACTATTACGCATGTTAGCTTCAATGCTAAATTTCGCTAAGCTACGCCTCGTTTTATGTGCGCTTTATCTTATTATTTAAGTCATGTTATTCAAGTCTTTTGTTTATATGCCTCATGCAGCCTTATGGATATTTGAGGTCTACCTTTTTCGCGTGGTTGCCGAGTACCTATTGGTTAATATCTATTTGGATTTCTATTTCTATTTGCCTAATATTGTGTATTATTATTGTTATATTACATTGTTATGTTATTATTGTTCTTATTTACTTACTTATTTTCTTGTTTACAGAACCACACATACACACACACCCACATACTCATCCCATCCAAAGACAATAAAGAAAGTAAAGATCTTCCGCCTGATCTTTGCATTCTGACCGATGCACACTCCGCGATCACAACTCTACTGAACCAGACAGTAATAGCAAACCTCCAGAACAGCACTATTTACCAACTGTTTTCACAAATAAACCGCACTGGACTTTAAATGAAACCCAACAGTGTGATGGGTGAGTGTTTTTGTTTGTTTGTTAGTTCACGGTGACTCTGGGCTTTGTTCAGTTGTGGCGTGTAGGGAGGGTGTGTCTGGGACCAACGGATTGTCGGCGTGTTCGCAGTGACTCAGTTGTTCAGTCGTGTCTAGAAGTGGCACATTGCACTCACTTTTTCGGTTCGTTCCTCCGTTCCGTTCCTCGTCGGTGTGGAGTGATGAGTGTGTCTGTGGGTGTGTTTGGCTGTGTGGTCGCTGTCTGCTCCGTGTGTGTTTGTGTGTTCTGCGGGTGGTGCAGCTTTGTAGTTTACTGAAGTCGTGCTGGGACACCTGAGTGGATTCGTGTATAGGGCGCTCTGGATTGTGGTCGTTTTTTGATGGGGTTGGAGGTTTAAGAAAAAAACGGAAAATACGATATGTCGATTTTTTTTTAAAAGTAGTACTTTTAAAGGGGAAATATATTTTGTCTCTGAGCGTTTTGCCTTGTCTTCTTTAGTTTGCTCAAAGCTGTTTTCAGATTCAGATATATACAGTGATCCTGTATTATTTTGTATTTGAGACTTCAGTGCGCAAAACTTTCGGGGGCAGGAGTGCTACTTGGATGTACAAAGATTAAGCAGAATTGTCCTTTTGGTGGTCTTCAGTGTAGGGACCAGTCTCATGTACAAAGTTGAAAAAACTGGACCTTTGCCCTGATGAAGTCTGAAGGGCCGAAACGCGTTGGTGTGATTTGAACTTAATCTGCCATGTGGTATTAAAGGCTTTTAATTATTTTGTACTTTTTGAGTAGCTCCGCTTTTTCAACTTTGTAATGTCTGTTTTCTGTTTTCTCCCTCTGCTCTGAAATGACAGCGATTATTAAGAAATAATATGACTCTGAGTCATACATGCAGGTTTAAGAAATGTCATGTGGTCATTTTTGACCAAATAAAAACACCTCAATGAAAATGTGCTGCTTGTTACAGTGAAATTTGTAAGAAATGATCACAAAATAACAGAAAACGAGTATGCCCCCTCTTTAAAGCCATAACATGGAATATTTTAGTAACATTTTAGTTGTGTTTATTGCACTGAAAAGCACACGTCTTACTTCAAGCGGGCTTGCATCTCCGCAAACCTGACTCTTATTTAATCTGGAGGATGCACCTGCTTGTTTCCATGAAAATGTTGCTCCTTTGGCTTCAGTATTCCACAGTATCTCCATAGAGAATGTTCCAAAGTATAGCTTTAACTTTTCTATTTCCACTGAATCGTGCAGTTGATGTGACACTTCCAGAAGGTTTCATATTCTAGCTTTAAATTTACTGACTGAATTAATAGAGCTCAACAGTCCCACCCACTTCAAAGTCCACTCTGGCTCCGCAAGTATATTTTCCAATCAAATTTTGCATCATTTTTATAAAAATTATTAAAGTATTAAAGGTGCAGTATGTAACTTTTTGGTTGGGGTCATTACTGTGCCTGGAATGTTCCACAATGTGACATTAAACAGCTCTACCTTACATTTTTTTCAGTTACAACTCAAAAATACCTAGAAAAACAGACATTCTGACTGTGAGCGGGGTCGCCTCTCCACAGATCTGACTTGTAACTTGGTCTGGTTTGGTCTCCGTGAAGATAGAATGGTTTAATGCCGTACTGTGAAACATTCTGCATCTCCTACACAATGCACCTTTAAATGTTGAAAGAAATCATGAAGAATAATGAGCAACATGTTAACTAATATCATCACGCAACCATTTTAAATCCAAAAACACATTTAAAACACAAGATTTGTTGAAATGTTTTAATAATTTAGCAGTTTCTAAAGTTTCAGAAACAAATTTTTAAAAATACAGTTATAGATCTTATTGTCACCGCGTAGCTGATTAGATCTGAGCTTTCAAACTTGTATTTTATTTTATTTATTTATTTATTATCGAAAAGTCTGTGAGGAAACCGAATGGGAAACGTACTTCCGATACCGGGGAGCGAACCATCCCTGCTGAGCTCCCGATTTAATGGGTGAAACTTGGAAATCCATAAACACACACACAATTTGCTGGTGTTTAGTGAAGGAGGACGGCATCACCTCTCCATAGCAATTTTAGCATTAGCGGTAATTTGGTTTCGATTACTCATCATAGTAATTTTCTGATTTTCCATATCCGCCTAAATTAGGACAAAATAGCTTCACAATTTAAGTTACTGTTTTGACAGATCTGAGCCTGTGTGGTCCGGGCCTCCTCTCACTTAAACCGGGATTACACTCTGTTACTTTAAGGATTATTTAAATAGTTTGGGAACATTGGCTCTTGTCATCTCCCTCAGACTAAAATGTTTTCTTAATCCAATTCTCCGTGCGTTTTTTTTGTGCAAACCTGCTTAAATATTTAACAACGATTATTTATGTCACAAATTCTGAATCGTGCGTGAATCGAGCTACGCCTACCGTCGCATTCCACTCATTTAAGCGTTCCTTGGCAAACACAAGAGAATAGCTAAAGATTAGAATATATTTTCATTGAGGTGAGTTGTGGGTTAGCGAAGGTTGTCGGTTCAGTTCCTTCCCCCGGGGCAGCTGTGATGGAGGGAGTTTAAAGGTCTTACATTACGCTCAATTGACTCTGGTGAGCTTTAAGTCGTGTTATAATGTTGTTATCTCATAAAAAAAAAACAGAACTGAGGTTGAGTTTTGTTTCATTCACACGTGAAAGGTGTTTTCTTGTAATTTTATTCGTAAAATATTAATTTCTGGAACATCAGGAGAGGAGTTTTGACTTAGTGTACAATAGGGGTGTGCAAACCACACATACACACACCCACATACTCATCCCATCCAAAGACAATAAAGAAAGTAAAGATCTTCCGCCTGATCGTTGCATTCTGATCGATGCACACTCCGCGATCACAACTCTACTGAACCAGACAGTAATAGCAAACCTCCAGAACAGCACTATTTACCAACTGTTTTCACAAATAAACCGCACAGGACTTTACATGAAACCCAGCAGTGTGATGGGTGAGTGGTTTTGTTTGTTTGTTCGTTCACGGTGACTCTGGGCTTTGTTCAGTTGTGGTGTGTAGGGAGGGTGTGTCTGGGACCAACGGATTGTCGGCGTGTTGACAGTGACTCAGTTGTTCAGTTGTGTCTAGAAGTGGCACATTGCACTCGCTTTTTCGGTTTGTTCCTCCGTTCTGTTCCTCGTCGGCGTGGAGTGATGAGTGTGTCTGTGGGTGTGTTTGGCTGTGTGGTCGCTGTCTGCTCTGTGTGTGTTTGTGTGTTCTGCGGGTGGTGCGGCTTTGTAGTTTACTGAAGTCGTGCTGGGACACCTGAGTGGATTCGTGTATGGGGCGCTCTGGATTGTGGTGCACGGTCGTTTTTTGATGCAGTTAGAGGCTTAAGAGCGCGTCTAATGGCCCGGAAAATACGGTATAAGGCACAATAAGCGAAACAAAAGGACGACACTTGAGACTGATCCTTAGCCCAGGCGTCCATGATCCATCAGCAGATCGTGGCCTAATTCGCCCGGTGTTGCCTCTCTGTCTTGGTGAATGTGGATTATGAATGTGAATGTGGGTGGATCGTTTAAGTTTTGTTTTTTTATTAATTTCCTATGAGGACAACTCAAATATACATTGATTAATAATGTTTAATGCAGCTTTGCCACATTTATTTATGTTTTACAGAAACAAAACTTAAAACCACATGACTCATTTGCATAAACTATAAGCACTGAAGAAAAACAAAACAAAAACAGCTCGCTCCTTGTGCCTGATGTGGTTCAGCTTCTGTCAGACTAAAGGACATGACTCAGTGGAATATGAGTGTTCTTTCTGTGACAGAGGGGTGTTCTGCTGATGGTGAGTCTGTTCTGTGCTTCTATTGTGTTGGAGATGGTTCATGTGAAACTTTACACAGATTATACTCTGCAAGGCTCCTGGCTACAGTAGCCGTAATGCTCCGACAGTCCATCAAGCGGTGTGGCTTCGTAGCTTAACAAAGTCGTACAACATTTTTGAGCACCGTGTGCCACAGAAAATCAGTTTGAAGTCTGTAAGCACAACCAGAATTAATACATAAGGCACAAAGGATTATAAGGATAAAAATAAACAATTTTAAGTGCGCCTTATAGTCCAAAAAATATAGTATTTTACTAAATTATTTTGTTACAGCTACAGTTTTGCTGCTTGTTCAGATGAAGGAAACTTGTTTATTTGACATTTTCACTGTTTTGATGATTAAAATGTTTTTGTTTCATATGAACTTTGCACAAGAAGAAGTGGTTTAACAAAGACTTTTAGTATCACAGACATGATTTAGCCTTTATTTTTTATTGAACTGTATTCAATCAATTTGAAATATATCGTATCAAATCAAAAGTGCACTGTATGGAGATAGCTGAGAGCTAAAGGAGGTAATTTATATACAAATCAATGAAAATACTGTCCCACTATATCTGTATGCTTTTAACTGTATGTTTTAATAGTATTAATAGTTTATGTTGTTGTAAGGTGACCTTGAGTGTCCAGAAAGACACCTAATCAATAAAATATAGTATTATTACTATTATATGTATCGTATCGTGGCCTGTGTATCCAGGTGTGTATTGTATCAGCAAATCGTTAATGAAACCCAGCCCTAGTGTACAATAGGGTGTTTTGATAAAAGTTATGGTATTCCTTAGTCATCATTTCTAACCAGGAAGTCAGGAAGTAAAAACTAAAACATAAACAATGGCCAAAACATTGTAAATCTTGAATATAATGATCTAAAGTGTGTTTTAGTAAAATGATTCCAGCCTGTCATAACCTCTTCAATACTGATCAATCACAACAAACCACATGCTTTTACACAGAGGACTGACTCTAGAGCTCTCCATTAAAACACACAAACTGACCACTGACCGTTTCAGAGTACTGAAGGAGACCACACTGGCTCAAGTAGAACAGCAGTGGCTACTTGAAAGTTCGTGGTTATAGTGGTTATATCTCAGACACTTCCTCCGCCTTGTGTGTACATGAATGTGGTGTGTGAGTGATTGGTGCAGACATACAGCACATTGTGACTTCAATCACCATCCAGAGCCTTTGTAAACTGTATTTCCCATGATGCCTCTGTGCAGGAGAGAGTCAGTGTGACCCTATGACCTGCAGTAACGGCGGCACGTGCACGGATCGTGGAGACTCATTCCACTGCAGCTGCGCTCCAGGCTGGGGAGGAACCACGTGTAACACCGGTAAGAGCCAACAGACTGGGGAAGAATCAAAATGTAACACAGGTAGGAACCAAACCACTAGGCGGGATCATCCATATGTTTAGGGATTGGTCCTGGATCTAAATAAGTGGATAGGGTGTTGCTGTTTCGAGCTGTGTTGAGTTGGACTAGTGGTCACTCACTGGAACTACAGACAAACGTCCCTCCTGCCCAGAAAGGATTTTTCCCACAGAGCACAATGTAATCATCACAAACTGCTCATGTTCACTTTCAGTTGTCTTAAAAACAGCTTTTTAATCATTAGCTCTGACTCTGCTAAAGCACCGCTCCAGCTACTCTGCCTCTGATTGGTCAAAGCAGTCATGTGATGTGTGAGACTTTGCTCGCGCTCGAGTGTGTTGGCGTGCATTGGCGTGTGCCCACATGAGAAGCACTACTGTACATGTCCTGTGGGCAGGGAGCCACAGGATGTACCTCTCCAGGCTCATCTGGAGACATGGCTTGAGTGGGTTAGACCCTGGTTGGTTTGATGGTGCCTTCACGTGGTGTGGGAAAGATGATCCTTTCCTCGTCTGAATTGGAAATTATGAGTGTGTTGTGTTTAAGTGCTTTTGTTGTCGTAGTGAGGTGAAACATGGTGGACTCAGAGTTTATCCTGACCTGTTACTTGGGTAAAAGAGTGAGAAGAGACACATTAAAACACAAACACTCGGCTAAATAACAGGCTGTATATTTTATTGATCATGTGTAAGTTTAATTCATGTCAGTAGCTCATGTGTCAGAAAAATCTTCCAGTTTTCCAGTGGAAATGACAAAGTGACTGAGTGTTCATGTGCAATTTTGATGTTGGTTTTTGGTATTTACGATAATTACCACAGGACGTGAAGGCACCATGAGACACGGTGAGTGAGCCAAGCGTTCTGCTGTGTGCACAGACACTATTAAAGAGCTCAATGAGAAGAATAAACATGAGCCACACTGGGCAGTGATTTTCTGCTTGAATTAAATTCACTAAATATTTGTATTTTGTTTAAAAGTATTCTCTTCTTCTGTGTGTGTGTTAGCAAAGAACAGTTCTTGTGACGCTGCCCCCTGTCTGAACGGAGGGACGTGTGTGGGAGGAGCGGACGGCTTCAAGTGCATCTGTAAAGAGGGATGGGAGGGGCCCACCTGCACACAGGGTAAGACACAATCAACTCTTTATTTATTCATTTCAGGTGGAGTGTCAGTGTACAAGACAAACAGGGAGCACAGGCTGAGGCAAAGCAGTTTGAATAAGGCTAAAAACAATCGCTGCTTTTTGCAAGACATGTTTGAATACTGGAACAATCACAAAAAACTGCAGCATCATTTAAATGTCATGGTGATGTGGCAGTCAGAGGCAGCCACTCTTCTTTCAGTCTGTCCCAGGGCGGCTGTAGCTATAGAAGTAACCACCACCGAATGTGGAGTGAATGAACAATGCACAAAACTGAACTCTGAGCATCTGAAAGTGTGTTCCTCCAGACATACATAGTTTATTTATTACTGTTTTGAATGAACTTAAACAAGCTGTTCATTTACAAGGGGAAAACATGGACAATTCAGAAATAAATGACGTAAACAACTGTGATTAGGCCTGTAACAATAATCAATAAATCAATTAATCGTACGATAACTTTTAATAAGCTCAGTAACTTTTCCTGCCGCGATAAATTCTATTTGCAGCTTGTTTGTTTTCCTCGCTCTCTCTTGCTCTCAAAGAGGATGAATGTTAGAAGCTTCTATCGCTCTCTGACTCTCGTAAAACAAATGTAATGATGCTTGAACCAACATGCGCTGTGTTTATCAGCACAGTGGATGCACGTGTAGTCTCAGTGCAGAAAACACTAGCGCCGCTGTCACAGTAACAAAACTGTTTGTCTCCGTGTGCCAAAACAAGTCACAATGCCGAATCAGCACTGGTGAGCGAGACAGGTCTCAACAGCCACGTGCGTCAAATACAGCGAGCGCAAACGACGAGAAGAAATGTCTGAAACACCAACAGCCGATATAAAAACCCGAGCGACACAACTAGCCCCGCCCCCGGGAGAAACCGAAATCCACTGAAATCCCACAAGACACCGACACGATACCAGACAGGACAGAGACTCCCTCATAGAGAAACAGGATCCTGTGTCGTGGGTTAATACGAACATTTAAATAACCAAAATGATGAGGCTCACAGCAGCAGCCACAGAGAGACACAATATTCCAATGTAAATCAGTGTCTAAAATCACTTTTAAGGGCAATTTTGTTACAGAGACTTAATAATCCATTTTATTTATTGCTTTAGTTGGTTAAGCAGTGGTTTATTCAAGTGCATTTTTGTGAACAAGTCCTTGTTGTGAGCCAGACACATTAGGCTAGTCCTGTGTTAACAAGTCTGTTTTATTTAGGCCTATTGTTTTTGATTGTCTTACAGTTTCTGTGTTAAATGTTCTTTAGAAAGTAAAGTTTATTGATCGTTGAGAGGATGTATTTGCAATTTTATTCCATGGTCATTATATAGGCAAGTTTCAGCTGACGTCACTGTTATTAAAAGCCTGCGTTGCATGCTGGGAAATATTTTGGTCGAAGGCAAGAAACACGGTAGCGTCAAACACAGTGTGTAACCTGGTGTATTTATCCCTGATAATGGTAAATTCCTGCTGCATTATCAGATGCACAAATAGAAGCACGGAAGAAGGAAAATGTCTTTTTCGTATTCTGAATGAAAAGAACCACTAACGGTGAATTAAACGACTTTCAAACATCTGCAGAGCAAACGTAGAAGATCCTAACAAACCGTGGACTCCAACAAGTTCAACAACACATCGAGACTCTTGGAGGTTTTCATCTTTTCTGCTGTGAATGGCCCAGGAGTTTCCACCAAGTCATTGTGGATATCACCAAAGTGAATATTTGTCCAGGTAGTTGGCGATTCTGACCAGAAATTTGGTTTGGTCCACCTTTTGTCGGGGTTGAAAAGTGTGATTTGGCTCCATCGATGCTTATGACCAGTTCCTGGTCAAATGGTCTTGGGTCCTCTGCTGTTAGAGTGGATAAATAACCGGGATCAATACCCTTTACGTGCTTTCTCGCGCCGTCCGTCATGTTGAATTTGTGTTTCTTGCCACCGACCAAAATAATTCCCAGCATGCAACGCACGCTTTTGTCAACAATGAAACTCACCTATTAGGTGAAATTGGTCTCAAAATGTCAATATTATCGTTTATCGCAATAAATTCTTGGTCAATTAATCGTCCAGCAAAATCTGTTATCGTTACAGGCCTAACTGTGATTACCTGTAATATCAGCAAAAATGTGTGTACAATTAAGGAAAAAAAAAAAGAAAATCTCAAAAAATACAGTAAAACATAAAACCAGACAGAGTATTTGGGCTCTTCTGCAGAACAGTTGTTTCAGGTCAGTAAATCACGACACAGAGCACATATACATGTTATAGAAGTTATAGATAGATGGATATAAATTTGAGTCCACCCTCCCGTCGCCCGGAGGCAGCCATCTTGAATCTCCCGTAAATGAGAGACTGCAGCTTTATAATGACACACAGATAAGATGTATTTATGACCCAAACGTGTCATTATCAGACTCTCTCTCTGTGTAAGTGGACCGTCTCCTCCACCATCATGTGTCATCTCACTAAATCAGCTCTGAATGTTCCAGATGATGTCTTTATTCTCTGGCCAAAAAGTGATCCACTTTTATTAAGACACAATGTTGTTTTATATGATAGCTGCATTAAAGCATGAAAGAATTCCATTATAAACTTAGTAAACATGGAATTATTATGATTGAGTGAGTCTTAAATCAGGTTAAAGTCTGATTTGACAACACTTTGGTTCTTTGTCTGCGTGGTGGAACAGATTTAGGTGTTTAAAGGTCCTTCATTACACAAAATGACTCTTAATGCCACGTTATAATATTGTTACATCATCAAAAACACCTGGAGTTGTGTTTTGTTTGGTTCACACGTGTTTGACAAACCCTTTATTAAAGCTGAAATGATCCCAGTGATTCTAGTGAAGGCGTATGGAGTTTAAAAACACAGTGGAGCACTTCCTGTTTTACCACATGACATCACAAGGTGGAACAGTGTGTTTTTTTGTTTGAGAGAATCTAAATGTGTGGGGTTTGTGAGTAAAACATGTGTGAATGAAACAGAACCCAACTGCAGGTGTGTTTGTGATGAGGAAAGGACATAATAACATAGATGAGAGAATAGCGTGATATGAGCTCTTTAACAAAGACTTTTCTGTTTTTGTGGTTTTTAATTCAATATATTTGGATGTTTTCTTTTGTAGATGTGGATAACTGCAACCCACATCCATGGTAAGTGTACTTTTATCCAAATCTTTTATTAAACGTTTTAATCAGATCTTAATCTTGGATCAAAATAACTAGACCATGCTCAAATGTTTGACAGCGTGAATCACAGAAACCTTTACTCTACATCAAATATACATTAGGATCATTGAACAAGAGCTTCTGGCACCTGGGAGCCTCTGTTTTATTAATTTGACTTTTTCATCCTTAAGATAATAATAATTGAGCTTTTCAGTCTTTGACATTTCCTTGGCTGCGTCTCCTTCAGTAAACTGTGTCATTGACTTTGCTCTGGCTCGTGCACAGATCCTCTTTGTTCTGTGGACCTCACACACTCTTAGACCTGGACTACACCTGCACCTTGGTTTCAGGTCCTGGTTTGGCCCTGTTCTCGTCCTGGTTTAGTCTTGTTGAGTCCAGGACTGAAAGCCCATTTAACAGTGGTTTATTAAATGATAACAGGTGAAGAGTGCTCCTCCACTGATGTTTACCGGACTGTCCCAGTGCATTGTGGGCCACACTGACCGCTCTAGTGACCAGTGCTTTTCACGGTGCATTGTGGGAAAGTTTCACTCACTGGACATTTAAACTTAACACTAACCCCAGAAAACTGTCGACTCTTGAACACAGCCCAGGTTCTGTTCTGGTCTACACCTGGTTTAGACCTGATTTAGTCCTGTTCAGCCCTTTAATCCTGGTTCAGTCCTGGTTTAGTTCTAGTTTAGTCCTACTTTAGTCCTGGTTTAGTCCTGGTTCAGTCCTGGTTCAGTTCAGTCCTGGTTTTAGTCCTGGTTTAGTCCTGGTTTAGTCCTAATTTAGCCCTGGTTTAGTCCTGATTTAGTCCTGGTTCAACCCTGGTTCAGTCCTGGTTTAGTCCTGGTTAGTCCTGGTTCAGTCCTGGTTCAGTCCTAGTTTTGTCCTGGTTTAGTCCTGGTTTAGTTCTAGTTTAGTCCTGGTTTAGTCCTGGTTCAGTCCTGGTTTAGTCCTGGTTCAGTCCTGGTTCAGTCCTGGTTTAGTCCTGGTTCAGTTTAGTTAGTCCTGGTTTAGTCCTGTTCAGTCCTGGTTAGTCCCTGGTTCAGTCCTGGTTCTATCCTGGTTTAGTCCTGGTTCAGTTCTAGTTTAGTCCTGGTTTAGTCCTGGTTCTGGTTCTAGTCCTGGTCCTAGTCCTGGTTCAGTCCTGGTTCAGTTCTAGTTTAGTCCTGGTTTAGTCCTGGTTCAGTTCTAGTTCAGTCCTGGTTCAGTCCTGGTTCAGTTCTAGTTTAGTCCTGGTTCAGTCCTGGTTTAGTCCTGGTTTAGTCCTGGTTCAGTCCTGGTTCAGTCCTGGTTCAGTTCTAGTTTAGTCCTGGTTTAGTCCTGGTTTAGTCCTGGTTCAGTCCTGGTTCAGTCCTGGTCAGTCCTGGTTCAGTCCTGGTTTGTTTAGTCCTTTAGTCCTGTTTAGTCCTAGTCCTGGTTCAGTCCTGGTTTAGTCCTGGTTTAGTCCTGGTTTAGTCCTGGTTTAGTTTCAGTCCTGGTTTAGTCCTGGTTTGTCCTGTTTAGTCCTGTTTCAGTCCTGGTTTAGTCCTGGTTCAGTCCTTGGTTCAGTCCTGGTTTAGTCCTGGTTTTAGTCCTGGTTCAGTAGTTTAGTCCTGGTTAGTCCTGGTTTAGTCCTGGTTTAGTCCTGGTTTAGTCCTGGTTTAGTCCTGGTTCAGTCCTGGTTTAGTCCTGGTCAGTCCTGGTTAGTCCTGGTTCAGTCCTGTTTAGTCCTGGTTTAGTCCTGGTTTCAGTCCTGGTTTAGTCCTGGTTCAGTCCTGGTTCCTCTCTGTATTCTTCTTCTCTGTGTATTTTGCTGCTGGCGTCTGTCAAAAGCTTCTCTCCAGTTTTAACTTGACGTGTTGAAAAAGTCTGAGGATGAGTTTGTTTTGGGGCAAAGTTCACACAGATTATCTTGTAAATCTGGTTTAAACGTCTTTAACAAAACTGAGGCCAGAACTGTTGCAAAATCCTCCTCAGATCAGTCAGACCTCAGCAGGAGAACATGGATAAACTTTGAGTTTGGCTAATTGTCACGTCAAAACAAACACCACCAAAACTGAACTGGTCTGTATAATTCAAAGGTGTTTTAGTCTTTATATAAGCCTGGTTTAGACCTGGTTTAGACCTGGTTTAGACCTGGTTTAGACCTGGTTTAGACCTGGTTTTAATCCTGGTTTTAACCTGGTTTAGACCTGGTTTAGACCTGGTTTTAGTCCTGGTTTAGACCTGGTTTAGACCTGGTTTAGACCTGGTTAGTCCTGGGTTAGTCTTGGTTAGTGTGCAGTTCAAAATCATAACGTATTCTTTACAGTTATAATGGAGGTCATGTGTGGATGACCTGATTGGTTTTCTGGTTTAGACCTGGTTTGGTCCGGGTTTGGTCCTGGATTGGTTTTGGTTTAGTCCTAGTTTAGGCCTGCTTTAGTCCTGGTTTAGTTCTGGTTTAATCCTGGTTTAGACCTGATGTGGTCCTGGTTTAGTCCTGGTTTTAGACCGGGTTTAGACCTGGTTTGGTCCTGATTTAGACCTAGTTTAGTCCTGGTTTAGACCTGGTTTAGACCTGGTTTAATCCTGGTTTAGTCCTGGTGTAGACCTGGTTTAGACCTGGTTTAGTCCTGGTTTTAGTTTAACCTGGTTTTAGACCTGGTTTAGTCCTGGTTTAGTCCTGGTTTAGACCTGTTTAGTCCTGGTTAGTCCTGGTTTAGTCCTGGTTTAGCCTGGTTTAGTCCTGGTTTAGACCTGGTTTAGTCCTGGTTTAGCTGGTTTAGACCTGGTTTAGTCCTGGTTTACCTGGTTTAGTCCTGGTTTCCTGGTTTAGTCCTGGTTCTGGTTTAGTCCTGGTTTACCTGGTTTAGTCCTGGTTTCCTGGTTTAGTCCTGGTTTAGTCCTGTTTAGTTAGTTTAGTCCTGGTTTAGACCTGGTTTAGCCTGGTTTAGTCCTGGTTTAGACCTGGTTTAGTCCTGTTTAGCTTTACCTTTTAGTCCTGTTTCAGTCCTGGTTTAGACCTGGTTTAGTCCTGGTTAGTCCTGGTTTAGTCCTGGTTTAGACCTGGTTTAGTCCTGGTTTAGCCCTGGTTTTAGTCCTGTTTAGTCCTGGTTTAGCCCTGGTTTAGCCCTGGTTTAGTCCTGGTTTAGACCTGCTTTAGTCCTAGTTTAGACCTGGTTTAGACCTGGTTTAGCCCTGGTTTAGTCCTGGTTTAGTCCTGGTTTAGTCCTGCTTTAGTCCTGTTTCAGTCCTGGTTTGTCTTTTAATGATCTGCTTGTTTTCTTCGCAGTTATAACGGGGGTCAGTGTGTGGACGGGGTGAACTGGTTTCGTTGTGAGTGTGCTCCTGGATTCGCTGGACCCGACTGTCGCATCAGTGAGTCTGCTTTTATTCTAACATCTATACTACATTGATTCCATTGATTTCATTGCCTCAGATCCATCATTTATTTATCAAGGGGCTCTTCTTCATCCATTTACTCAGTTTAAACGTCTCATTACACTCTTCTCTGATCTGTGTCCTAATGTCGTTTCTTCATCACAAACAGACCTGGAGTTGTGTTTGTTTCATTCACAAACACAAATTTAACACACAAACCCTGCACATTTACGCTGAGTTCTTCTCTCAAACTGAATTGTGATGTCATGTGGTAATACAGGAAGTGCTCCATTTTGTTTTTAAACTCCACACACCTTCACTAGAATCATTTGGATCATTTCAGACCTGGAATTGCCGATCTCTACCAAACGTAAAATGAATGAAATGGTTTAAAGTTCACAAGAGTCAACTTTGTGTAATATAAGACCTTCTTTGACAGTATTTTTGACTTGTCCTCCTCCTCTTTTTCCTCAGACATAGACGAGTGTCAGTCTTCTCCGTGTGCCGCGGGCTCCACCTGCATCGATCAGATCAACGGGTTTAAATGCGTGTGCGCCCCGGGATACACAGGACCGCGCTGTCAGGAGTGTGAGTGCTCTTAAAACTGTCAAATGCTTTTTTCCTTTGAGATGTTATTGCTTTGTCTGGAAAGTTTCACAGTATGGCATTAAACCTTTCTATCTTCACGGAGAGCAAACCAGACCAACTTACAGGTCAGATCTGTGGAGAATGTCTCTTTTTCTCAATATTTTTGAGCTAGAAAACCACCTGTAATTGAAGAAATGTAAAGTAGAGCTTTTTAATGTCACACTATGGAACATTCCAGACAGAGCAATGACATCTCCATAGACACAAGCTGGTAACTGTTGAGTCCAATACACGCATCAAGAATCTCAGACTTCTGGTCATTGCACAATTCATACTGGGAAGGATTTTCCAAAAAAGTGAGCATCAAACCTCCATGTTTGTTTTCCCAGTGGGATGTGTCTATTGACAAAGTCGATCTTTTCAAGTCTTTTGAACCATATCACTTTTGTTTCTGGTTCTGATATTGTCATATTTTAGTTTTGGGATTTGGACATTGTAATTGTGTGGTTGTTGGATCCTAACAGCGGAAAACATCTCAAGAAATGTGTTTGCAAACTCCATAAATGCAAAAGGGAATCAGATGTGTGTGACTCAAACCTCTGTTCAAACTGTTTCTCTTCCCAACGGAATTGAAAAATAGTGAAAGGTGAAGGTGATGGGCAGGATTGATCCACAGGAAGAACCAAAAAGGAAACATTTGACTGCCTAAATCATCCCGAGTTTACAGAGAACAATTTATATGTGGAGCGACATCAAAGTGGGATCTTGTTTGTTAATGAGAGGAGCAGAAGACAAACAGACTGAGCTGCACTTTCTTGTTCTTGTGGTTTTACAGCAACATCACGTCTTGGTCTCTTTGCAGTGGAAGGTGTTTCTTGGTGAACAGTTGGAGCCTTTTGCTTTGGCGTTGACTTTTTAAATTCGTAACCGAGGTTGAGCGACGGATCAGGATTTTGTTTTGTTGTCGCTCCACATACAAAATGTTCTCTGCAAACTCGGGATGATTTAGACAGTCAAATGTTTCCTTTTTGGTTCTTCCTGTGGATCAGTCCTGCCCTTCACCTTCACCTTTCACTATTTTTCAATTCTGTTGGGAAGAGAAACAGTTTGAACAGAGGTTTGCAGTCACACACATCTGATTCCCTTTTGCATTTATGGAGTTCACAAACACATTTCTCGAGCCGTTTTCCACTGTTAGAACATTCAACAACCACACAATTACAATGTCTGAATCCCAAAACTAAAATATGACAACATCAGAACCAGAAACAAAGTGATATGATTCAAAAGACTTGAAAAGATCGACTTTGTCAATAGACACATCCCACTGGGAAAACAAACATGGCAGGATGATGTTCACTTTGTCAGAAAATCCTTCCCAGTATGAAATGTGCAATGACCAGAAGTCCAAGATTTTTGATACGTCTATTGCAGTTTTGTTGACCTGGTTTATGGTTCATATCTCTGTAATTACTGGGACTATCCACATGAAACAAAAACTGGCACAAAGTTCGATGTCTTCTCTGTTAGTATAAATAAACAAAATGTATTTATTTATTCTTTATTCATTTTTTATTGACTTTTCAACGGAGAAATTATAGTTACAGTTTGCAAGTTATGAAACACATGTACGTCTCCTCTAGTTTTGTTTTATTATTTGTATTTTTTTACTTTTTTAAATGCGAAAATTAAAAAAAATTACAACAAGAAATAATATAAAATAACATAACAATAAAAGAGCAATTGAGTAGCCAAAAAAAAGAAAGGGAATCACAATATTTTCAGAAAGTGGAGCCATTATTCAACTCCAGAGACGTGATTGTTGTCAGTTGAAAGGACTTGAAACCGTAAAATTCATATGACAAGTTTGTGGAGCCAGTTCATAAAAAGTAATGAGAAGTTTAAACATTTGTGGGTCAGAAGTTTAAAGATTTCTCTCAAAAACAGTAAATCTCCAATAGAGTTACAGTAGATAGACCCCTGCTCTTGATGATTTTGTGACACTCTAGAGCGTATTTCTTCAACGTTCTCTCTCTTCACGCTTTAATATCGTTTCTGTTTTTCCCCTCAGTCATCGGCTTTGGTCTGCCCTGCCTGGTCACGGGTCGGCAGGTGCCCTCTGGCGGTCGGCAGGTCCCTCACGGCGAGCGCTGGTCTGAGGAGTGTAACAGCTGTCAGTGCACGGACGGACACGTGCGCTGCTCCAAGGTCAGAGCCGCGAGCAGCTGTTCAACCTCCTCCTCTGTTTACGTTTAGTGGGTCACTTCATTCATAGACACTTTCATTTATTTGTGTTGAACTTTTCATTCATAAAACAGTTTCCAAAGTGCTGCCAGTGTTGGGAAGGTTACTTTTAAAATGTAATCCCCTACAGATTACAGATTACATACCCCAAAATGTAGTTTGTAACAGAATCCATTATGTTACTTAAAGTGAGTAACGTAATCTGAATACTTTGGATTACTTGATATTGTCATGTTTTTTAAAATTACGTGAATGTAACAACCACATCCTGAAAATTCATGTTTGTTCTCTTCAAATTGTCTGTTGAGCCCAAGTCTCCATGAACAGACTTTTGTTTACTGAAGAGAAGCAAAGACCAGGATCTGAACATAAGATGTTTTATCTGCTAAAAGAAAATTTAAAAAACAGACTTTACTTAACCAATATTAAAAATATTATTGATAGAGAAATGATTTTTATATGAGATCACTGCTGCTTTAAATTATGTCCACCTACTGTTAGTGTCATATTGTTTAGTCCTGGTTTTAGGTCTGGTTTAGTCTTGTTTTGATCCTGGTTTTAGTCCTGGTTTAGTCCTGGTTTAATCCAGGTTTTATTACAGGTTTTAGTTCTGGTTTAGACCTGCTTTGGTCCTAGTTTTAGTCCTGGTTTAGTTCTAGTTTTAGTTCTGGTTTTAGTCCTGGTTTAGCCCAAAATGTGAAAACAGGAAAATCCCGCCATGTAATCCATTTATTTCAACAAAGTAACTGTAATCCAATTACCACTCATTGAAAGAGTAACTGTAACTGAATACAGTTACTCATAAATTGTACTCTGATTATGTAACGCCAGTACATGTAATCTGTTACTCCCCAACAGTGAGTGCTGCACAATACAAATAAAAAATACATTTGGAATATAAAGCTCCATTTAAATTGTTACACTATTTTCTGATCTATGTTCTAATGTTTCCTCATCACAAACAGACCTGGACTTGTGTTTTGTTTCATTCACACAAGTTTAACACACAAACCTGCAGATTTAAGGTCAAGCAGAAAACATTCTCTCTGCTCCACTGTGTTTTTAAACTCCATACACCTTTGCAAGAATAATTTGGATAATTTCTATCCTGGAATTGCCAATTTCTACAGAATTAAAAATAAAAAAAGCTGTTAACTTGAAAACAAAGTCGAACAGAGCATTTTGAGCTTTGAGGATACAGACAGTCCCGCTACAGGATTTTTCTGTCTTAAACCATTTTTAAACACGCCACAGACACGAAGGCTGCAGCAGGATCTGTCTGTGGACCACAGGATATAAAGTTGTGAGCGCGATGGTGTCAGCTGTTTCCTGTCTACAGTAAAACCACTCACTCTGAGACTCTTAAGTGTTCAAAGATCAGACTCTGCACTTCTAGTTTAGATCCAAGTCAAAACTGTGTTATTATTATTTGTGAAATGTGGTGCAAAACTTCAGATACATGATTTTTAAAGAATAAAAATTGGTGATAAATTGCACAGGAAGTAGAGTTTTGATGTCTAATCTGCATCTTCAGGTCGACCTGTGCTCTGTGTGGATGTAAACAAACACACGTGAGGAACTACTCTCACCTTTTTACTTTTAAAGAACGACTCAAACTGCATTAACACTGCGGTTTTGTGGACTGGATGTCATTATTTGTGGAGGATAATTTCTATGGATAATGTGAATGAGACACTGCACTTTAAATTTACCACTTTACAAGACGTGATTAATACAGTTGCCTTATTATTTCCACTATGTCCCAAGTTTGTATGTTGAGCCTCTGTGTCCGTCACTCCTCTGCCCCTGAGACTCTGTTGGCTGTTATCGTGGCGTTACTGATGGTTAGTGGTTCTGATCTGTCAGAGCAGCTCAGAGTCACACTGACAAGCACACACACACACACACACACACACGAAGAGCACAGCGGCTTCAAAATCACACACAAAGACACAAAGTCAGGCCACGTCTCTCCGACCTCAGGGAGAAGCAAATCGTAGCCAAAATTCGGGCAAATTCTCCTGTGGTGTGTGGTGGTCTTTGCTCAAACATGAATGAGTGAATGAAGCAAAACACAACTCCAGGTATGTTTTTGATGAGATAACAACATTGTAACATGAATGAACAGAATAGACCAGTAGCATTTCAATCAAGTAAAACTAATCTGAGTAAAAAGAAAAAAAAAACAACAAAAAAACATGGAAGATCTGTCAGGATGGGCACCTCAGATAAAAAATGAATATAAGGAAAAGGTTGAATTCTGGTGTGAGTGTTGGTGCTGGAGCAGACTCGCAGCCTCACTTCTGTCGGTCTGTCCCAGGGCAGCTGTTTCTACAATTGTATCTTGAATGAATAATGCACCAAATTGTAAAGTGGTGCAAGTGTCGGGAAAAGCTCTGTACAGACTCATAAGACTCAAGTGTATTCAACTAGTTTGTTGAAGTTGACAGAATTAAACCGTCTTTTGCTCTGGGCCATACTTGGACAACAGATGAGAAATGATTACATACTGAAAGTCAAAATAAATAACTGTAATGTTTGAAGGGCCACTAAACACCTAAATGTGTGTAAATGTGTCTAAAATAAAAGTGTATCTCTATCCCTGGACTTATTTTGGCATTTTAGTGCATATTTGTTTAAAATGTGGCTTTCGGGTCAAAGTCATGTCTGTACCGGCCTCTTTAGGGTCAACTACGGTCAGGACATTTGAATTTCAGGGTTGGCCAGTGAGTCAGATGCAGGTTATTACATGATGAACGCAGACAATGGCGTCTGTGGGCGGGATGTGAGGAGCCCCCCTCAGCCTCACCCCGACCTGGCACCGCCAGGCACCGCCACACAGCCATGTCCTGCCGTGTCCTGCCGTGTCTGGAGAAAAAGCAAATGCTATGATCCGAGCAATCTGCGTCATATTGGATTGTTGTGGCTGTAGGTCAACTGTCAATCATCTGTCCAGAGCCCGCCCCACGCTCACTCCAACCCGCCAGGCTCCGCCCACTCTGGAGGATTTTTCAGATTTTGCTTCGGGGCAGAGGAAAGCTTCATGAGGGTGTTTAATGTCTCTTTAAACTCCTGTGTGTGTGTGTGCAGGTGTACTGTGGTCAGCGCCCCTGCCTCCTCTCCTCCTCCTCCTCCCCCGGGTCAGACAGCGCCCCCCTCTGTCCGGCTGGAGCAAAGTGCACACCTCAGCCCCGCCTCTCCTGTTTCTCTGAGTCATGTGACCTCTGGGGTGTTTGCTCCGCCCCCTACGCCCCGGCCCCACAGACCCAGTGTCAGCCCAACTCTGAGCACGTCGACCCCAACTGTGCTCGCATCTCCCTCATCTTCAACAGGAGCAAAGTTCCACAGGTAAAAGAGGCTTCAGCTTTTCAGAGTTTTATTAAAGTGACCTGCTTTTATGTATGTCCCTAATTATAAAACATAATAATAACAACAAATACAAACATTTGAAAAAAAAACATTGCATCTTCACTAAAGGTGCACACTGTGTAACTTTTCTGGTAGAGGGTCCACCACCTGCTTGTCTCCATGGAGATACAGTATTACTGCTTTGCTTTGATTATTCCCAGTATTGGGAAGGTGACTTTTAAAATGTAATCCCCTGCAGATGACAGATTACATAGCCCAAAATGTAGTTTGTAACGTAATCCATTAAATTACTAAAGTGAGTAACGTAATCTGAATACTTTGGATTACTTGATATTGTCATGTTTTTTAAAACGACATGAATGTATCAACCACATCCTGAACATTCATGTTTGTTCTCTTCAAATTGTCTGTTGAGCCCAAGTCTCCATGAACAGACTTTTGTTTACTGAAGAGAAACAAAGATGAGGAAACCTTAACATAAGATGTTTTATCTGCTAAAAGAAAATAAAAGAAACAGTCTTTCCTTAACCATATTAAAAATATTATTGATAGAGAAATGATTTTTATATAAGATCACTGCTGCTTTCAATTATGTCCACCTACTGTTAGTGTCATATTGTTTAGTCCTGGTTTAGTCCTGATTTAGTCCTGGTTTAGTTCTGGTTTAGGTTTAGTCCTGATTTAGTCCTGGTTTAGTCCAAAATGTGAAAACTGGAAAATCCCTCTGTGTAATCCATTTATTTCAACAAAGTAACTGTAATCCAATTACCACTCACTGAAACAGTAACTGTAACTGAATTACAGTTATTCATAATTTGTACTCTGATTACATAACACCAGTACATGTAATCTGTTACTCCCCAACACTGATTATTCCACAGTAGAAATAAGTTTGGTAATCACCATGGTTAATCAGCACAGGTTAATGGTCAGATCTATGGAGAAGCGAGCCTGCACATGTTACAAATTCATGTTTTGCGAGTTATTTTTTAGCTTTTCAACACCTGTAATTGAACAAAAGTAAATTAAATATGTTTAATGCCATACTGTGGAACATTTCAGTCAAAGAAATAACATCTCCATGGAGACAAGCAGGTTGCAGACCCTCCAAATTTGAAGTTACATCGTGCACCTCTAAACTGTTGTCCAGTCAGTCTCGTGCTGTCCAGTTTGGCTATGCTTCTGTTGTAGGGAGTATTATACCATTGATGATGTAGGTGAAGATAACAAGGACAGAGCTGGCAGTGAGGGTCTTTGATAGAGCGCAGAAATGTACTTTTTCTAACACCACCTCCATATCTCTGTACTTAGTTGGAAGTATTTGTAAGTTTAAGGCTCCATGTCATGCAGGGTTCAAAAATATTCCTTTATAAAACCGTTCAAGATCAATATTGTAGTTTAGAAATGGTCAAAATGTAACATGAAGATCGACTTTTCAACTCGCTATTGTTCTTAAGTAAATATCTGAGAAAATAAAGATGGATTTTTATGAGTCCCTTATGATACATTTCCCCATAATCTTGAAGACTTCTTTATTTCTGAGCATAAGTCATTGTTTGTATTTCCAGGGCACGTCGGTGGATCAGATCTGCTCTGAGCTCCGGTTTCTCCCCGTGACTCAGACTCTGGCCCAGAACAGGACTCTGCTGCTCCTGTGTGAGCGCTCCACCACCAACGCAGACGCCGTGGAGGTCGCCATGGTAAATGCACACACTACCACAATATCATACGCGCTTTAATCGGATGAATAACTGAAATGTTACTAAACAAATATACGGAAAACTGAGCCAAAAGATAATAGGATAATGGCGACAGTGGGAGGCAGGTTTTGGAACTGAAAGTCTTGCTTTTCAACCGCAGACTGTATATTACGGAAGTCGAGAGACAAACAACACACAACAAACGCAAACGCCCCAACAAATACGAATGTGACAACACAAAAAAAAGCCATAACTGAAATGACCACAGGATTCTATTTTAATACAAACGCCACAACAAATACAAATGCCACAACACAACAAAAAGCCACAACACACCAAAAAAACCCACAACACATCAAAAACGCCATAACACACCAAAAAAAAGCCACAACTGAAATGACCACGGGACTCTATTTTAATGCAAACGCCGCAACAAATACAAACGCCACAACACAAACGCAAATGCCACAACACATTAAAAGCCACAACACATCAAAAAGCCACAACGGAAGTGACCGCGGGACTCTATTTTCCGACGAACCGATCAAGCGGTGAAGAAGTAGAAGAAGAAAAACTACAATGTGAAACGAATAATGATAAAACAATAAATTACTTTTACTTACGTTTCCAACTTCTCCGTTCCTTTACTTTTTACATTGTAGTTCTTCTTCTTCACTTGCAGCTTGATCGGTCCGTAGGAAAATAGAGTCCCGCGGTCACTTCCTGTTGTGGGAGTGCAGATTTAAGTACAATCTTGTGAACATGTGAGGAGACAAAAGGGACACGCTGTTACTCAGGTGCTTTTTCCTAAACGAGGGAGCGTAAATCCTCGTCAGCTCCAAGCACCCTCACTGCCACACGATTGGCTGTTGACCTGTCGATTAAAATGCGCATGCCTGATCATCGAGATCAACCAAAGTAGAGATTGCGATCTATCGATCTTTTGAGTTTTGGCACAGCCCTAGCTGCAGGTTTGATTGACAGCTATCATGGCTCGTTACTAAGCCAGGTTTGACACAGGGCGGGGAGAAAGTGGCGTTTATCTTCAACAATTCTGCTTCTTGATTGGCTCTTTGGTTTCACGCTTGGATTTCCAAATACGAGGCCTGTTTGCAGATTTGCCTCTATATCCGCCAGCCTCGATTGGCTTCATTTGACTGGATCTGAACACTGTGGGTGACGTCACGCTCCCCTAGTCTTCTTCTGTGTAGTGTGCGGTTCCAACAGGGTCCAGATTCATCTCCAAGTGCATCTAATAATAATAATGTCAGACTGTACTTTTAGATCAAGTGTGTCATATATTTTGGAATTTGGATGTTTAAAAGGCTCATAAAAAAGCATTAACTTCTCAAAACAGATCATCAGATCTCAGAACTCAACCCCAGAAACTCTTTTGTTGTTCATTTGTTCCATTGAAGCAGAGCCACATCTGTTGCACATCCTCCTGTGTCCTCTCCCAGGCCGAGCTCTGCCCGGCCCTGATAAAGGGCCTGCAGCCAACACTTTTCATGTAATGATGTTAAATGTGTCCAAAATCCTAATACAGACACACTGTAAAAGCAGCTCGAAGCATCAAAATCAGACTGTTGTGTACTGTCTGTATGTCATTATAAAGTGTATTTATCATCCATGAACCAGGAAGTATGCTGTTGCACTTTTTTTTGTTGCACAGTTAAAGTACACTGTTTAGACACTTTAGAGAAATTTGCCTTATGTTTTTGACTCGTCCTTCAGTGTCTCTGGGTCAAACCTGTCAGGAGCAGTGGGACCAGCCCCAGATCTTGAGTTAGTCTTGGTCAGGACTGTCTTATCTGGGGGCTCTGGTCTCTGAGACTTGTGAATAGCTTTTATAAACTCATCGTGGTGAATAATTATATTATTCACCACGACATATTATAATGTTCTGACTGCGTAAGGAAAATGAGGAATAACTCTGAACCACTGCAAACTGCAAACTTTTCATGTTTTAAGACAGTAAAATCACGTACAGACACTTTCAATGCAGAGTTTTAGTTGAATTTTGGTCATTTAAATCCGAAGACAGAACTTGTGTCTGTTCTGCAGTTCAAATCTCTGACACTCATGAGTTATTATGTTATAATTTCCTTATTTTAAATCACAATTTTGATCTAAATGACTTAATAATAAAAGAAACAAGGCCGCTGACGTCCCTGTTAGAAAACTGTGGTGTCCAACAGGAGCTGATGTTGCGGTAAACGTGAGCACAACAAAGTGGGGAATGCTTGGCCCCTCCTGTGACTATCAGATGATTCCACATATAACAGATTAAGAAAATTAAGAAAATTCAACTGGAGAAGGGTCCGTGTAACATTCATCCTTTTGAATTTCAATTAAGAACAAAAAACTATAAAATGGGAAAACAGTTTATTTCATTTTCCTGTTTTAGTGTCAAACAAAAAAACAAATTTTGACCTCTGTTTCCAAGATTTAATTTAAAGTTACACAGTCATCAGTGTCTTTCAATTGAACAAAGGAGAGTTTATCACTGTTTCCTGTTTCTCGTCATGAAGTTCAACAATGACTTTTTAAAACGTGAAAGTAAACGCGTCGCTATAAAAGATGACAACATGTTTGTCCACAAAATTGCAACGATTTTTCAGGTAAATCCTGTTTGCAGCATTTATTGGCATTATTTGAAATAAACTTTAAATTATATAATGGAAATAGAGGCCGAAATTAGTTTTCTTCTTTCACAATAAAACAGAATAATGTTTAATGTTTTCCCACTTTTTATTGTTTTTTCATTGTTAATTGAATTCAAAAGAACGAGCGGTACACAGACGTACATCTCAGTGGTGTTTACTGGTGGAGCTGAAAACAAATCGATCAGAGCAGTGACGTTTTGAATCCAGGAGAATAAAAATGACTCAAACATGAATCTCTGAATAAAACTGTAGAGGCTCAATAAGAAGAAACTTTGATAACATGGTTAAAATTGTGAAAAGTGCAGTTTGCTGACAGCTCTGGTTAAAGTGCTGTCTCTGTCTCTCGCTCTTTCTTTCTGTCGCTCTGTCTCTCTCTCTGCCTCTCAGTCTCTCTGCCTCTCAGTCTCTCTGTCTCCCTGTTTGTCTCTCAGTGTCTCTCTGTCTGTCTCTCTGTGTCTGTGTCTCTCTGTTTCTCTTCCTCTGTCTCTGGCTCTCTTGTCTCTCTGTCTCTCTATCTCTGTCTCTCTCTGTCTCTCTTGTCTCTCTGTCTCTGTCTCTCTCTGTCTCTCTTGTCTCTCTGTCTCTCTGTCTCTGTCTCTCTGTCTCTGTCTCTCTTGTCTCTCTGTCTGTCCCTCTGTGGCTCTGTCTCTCTTGTCTCTCTGTGTCTGTGTCTCTCTTGTCTCTCTTGTCTCTCTGTGTCTCTGTGTCTCTGTCTCTCTTGTCTCTGTCTCTGTCTCTCTCTGTCTCTGTCTCTCTCTGTCTCTGTCTCTCTTGTCTCTCTGTCTCTGTCTCTTGTCTCTCTGTGTCTGTCTCTGTCTGTCTCTCTGTCTCTCTGTCTGTGTCTCTGTCTCTCTTGTCTCTCTGTGTCTGTGTCTCTGTCTCTCTTGTCTCTCTGTCTCTTGTCTCTCTGTCTCTGTCTCTCTCTGTCTCTGTCTC